GGTTCCCAGCGATGAAGAGGAGGAAGAATATTGGCTGAGGACTAGCCAGCAGCAGCTGTCCAATGAGACTTCAAACTTTGGGTTCAGCCTGCTACGGAAGATCTCCATGAGACACGATGGCAATGTAATCTTTTCGCCATTTGGCCTGTCTGTGGCCATGGTGAACTTGATGTTGGGGGCCAAGGGAGAGACCAGAGTCCAGGTGGAGAATGGGCTCCATCTACAGGCCCTGAGTCAGGCAGAACCCCTCATCCTCCCATCCCTCTTCAAGAGGCTCAGAGAAACCCTCTCCAACAATCAGAAGCTGGACCTCACCCAGGGGAGCTTTGCCTTCATCCACAAGGACTTTGATATCAAAGAGACCTACCTCAATCTATCCAAGAAGTATTTTGATACAGAGTGTGTTTCTACAAATTTTCGAAATTCCTCACAGGCCAAAGGGCTTATGAACTACTACATTAACAAAGAGACTCGGGGAAAAATTCCCAAGCTCTTTGATGAGATTAATCCTGAAACAAAGTTAATTCTGGTGGACTACATCTTGTTCAAAGGTATTTTGTTAGTCTTCTGTTGCTGCAAAGCCATGGGAACCTGACCCTCTCTCCATTTCCTTCTTCTGGTCAGTGTAGTTAGTGCAAAAGGATGCTCTGCAAGCATGGGCTCTGCTTTACAGGTCCAGCACACATTGAAGAGGGAACGATGCTTTCCCCGAGGCCCCTCTCTTACCACCTGCAGACCTGTGGTCCTCAGTTCCCACAGCTCCTCTGCCTGGTTTTCTTCCTAATGTTTGAGAAAGGTAGCACTGGAATGTTGAATGTGAAGCTCACTATCAGTGAGAATTGGGCTGCATCTCCCATTCTGTTTTTGTGATCGGGGCCAAAAGTGTGTGTGCGTGCGTGCGTTTGTCTGTGTGCAGGTAAACCCAGAGGTCAGAGGTGTTGGATCCTCCTAGAATTGGAGTTACAGGCAGTTGTGAGACACCCAGTAGGGGTGCTAGGAACCACACTCGAGTCCTCTGTACAAGCAGTATGTGCTCTTAACTGCTAAGCCACCTCTCCAGTACCCTGATCTTAGATTTTTTTATATAAAAATTGGGATTCTAACTTGCTATAGGTATAAAGCCACCACAGCTGACATATGCTAGGTACTGCACATTGTGCTTAGAACTTACTACCCACCATGGGACAGGAATAGGTGGCATCTTTGCTATTCCTGGTAGTCAATGTAGCAAGCAGAGTAGGGCCACTGTCTCCTTTCTTAAAGGGATGCAGGTGAAGATTGAAGAAGCTAGGTTGATCAGGATCACAAATGGATGGTAGAGGCTAAATACAAAGAAGGATCCCATAACCTCATTACCCCAATTTCTTCCAGCTCCAACAGGGCACAGGGTATGGTGTGGATGCCTCTGGTACTTAAAGCTATACCAGGAGACTCACAAAGCCCTAGATTGAAGGGTCCTTTGCCAGGACCCCAAAACAGATACTCAGTAGAGTCGTGTAGTGGCCTCTCCTCTCAGAGCCACATGAAGAAATGTTGAACTGGAAAAACCCCTACTATCAGTAAAGTATATGTTTGCATAAGGGCATGATGGGGCCATGTGGTAGCCAGGAGTCCCTCATGCAGAGAGTCATTGGAAGCCATCCGCCAGGAAATGAAGTTTTGTTCAGATCCAGAATAAGGGAACAAATGAGAGGAAGGGTCATCTTTGTCTTTGTGGGTGGTTCCATGATGGGTCATGGTTAGAGCTAAAGTTTGATGTTTGGGGAATTCATTGCCTGGGCTATGGTTCAAGTAAACTCGAAAAAGGAGTGGCACTCCCTGTTCGGAGTAAATGGGGTAGGTAGGATAGTCTCTCCTCCACCACTCAAGCAAAACCAGTGTGTTCTGTGGAGGCTTTCTTCCATAGGGGCTTTCTTCTCACTTGTTCAGGGAAGTGGCTGACTCCATTTGATCCCGTCTCTACCGAGGCTGACAATTTCCACCTGGACAAATACAAGGCTGTTAAGGTGCCCATGATGTACCGGGAAGGCAACTTTGCCTCCACCTTTGATAAGAAGTTCCGTTGTCACATCCTCAAACTGCCCTACCAAGGAAATGCCACCATGCTAGTGGTCCTCACGGAGAAAACAGGTGACCACTTGGCCCTAGAGGACTACCTGACCATAGACCTTGTGGAGACATGGCTCCAGGATATGAAAACCAGGTATGTTGCTTCCCCTGCTTCTCAGATATGGCCTGCCATCCTCATGATCACTCCCAACAGTTTTACCCAATGCCCTCTGGCTTACTGCCCATGCTTCCCTGTGAGTACCAAGCTCCTACAGGTAGAAGCAATATCTGTCCTGTTTTCTATTCTATCTTCAGCATCCTCAGTGTAAGCCTAGGTTTATTGTTTATTAACTCAGCAAATACAACTATTTGCCTATTGAGATACCTCTTGGTAAATGTACTTTTGACTACTCTTTATAGAGCAAGAAAACTGAAAATTAAGATTAATTTGATGTCATTAGTAGATTTTTTTTCTGAGTCAAAAAAGTCATCTTTCCAAATCTCATAATCTTAGAGAACTCTGAGGGAAAATAAACAACCTTGGAGCCTTCCTGGCTAAGATGGCTGGGCTAGTTGAAAGCGCTCTTTGCTTCCTCTGTCTGCTCATCCCCACGTTCTCTGGGAATACTTGGTCTGGGGTCCTGGGCTGGGACAGCATCCTCCAGTAGTCTGAAGGGATGCAGGAAGCATCTAGGAAGTTGGTTGGGGTTGTTTTTTCAAGTGGACATGGAGTGTGGCATCCTTTGCTAATTCTTTGGATTTTGCATAGTGAGCTAAGAAACTAGCTCTCTGGGGGAGACAAAGTGAGTATTCATAAGCCTAAAGTATTTTCTCTGAGACAGAACACTATGAAAGGATCACATGAGCTATATAAAGTCAGGCAAATATTCTTGGAGGGAGGAAGAAACCATGTCCTTATCAGCAGTCCCTAGCCATTTTACCATCATCTGTCCATGTGCCACAGGAAAATGGAGGTTTTCTTCCCCAAGTTCAAGCTGGACCAGAGGTATGAGATGCACAAGCTGCTCCAGCAGATGGGAATCAGGAAAATCTTTTCCACTTCAGCTGACCTCAGCGAACTCTCAGCCGTGGCAAGAAATCTTCAGGTGTCCAAGGCAAGTCAGGGGCTGTGCTGAGGCCCAGTCCTCAGCTACAAAGCCTCTGAAACCAACAAATACTGTGCAAACCATGTTGTTGTGATTAAATGTCTAGCTTTGGTAAGAAATTTTACTCCAGTTCTAATAATTTGAAGTAGCATCCAAGCCGGGTGTTCTAAGAACCTCAAGCCATGCTACTCAAACACCTTTTTAACTAGGTTCTCATTGGAAGAGCTCCATGCCTCTTCTCTCCCAAGGCCTAGGGAGGCATCTGCTCCTCAGACAGACTGCCTTATAACCCATCAGTACCTGTGTTGAATATCAAAAAGGCTCATGAAATTATATCACCTTTAGTATGAAAGAAACCCCTAGTCATCACCTGGCCCAGCCTGCCATGCCTTGTGATGGCCATTCTATCTCCTCTATAGTTAGCCTTAGAAGACCCTCTTGTTCTTCCTCCCACACCGTTCCCCCTCCTTCCCATTCTTCAGACAAGGGTCTCATCCCTTCTTTGAAAAACAGCCTAATACACAAATGGCTGATTATTTTGCAATATGTTGACTGGTAAGTACTCCAACTCACACTTTTTGGTCCTGTTTCTGAAGTACTGAGAACAAGTTTATTCAGCTTTGGTACTAGTAAGCACATACTTTGTATGTATGAAAGCTGGTACCTCAGGAAGGTATTTTGAGGAGCCTGGACATACCAAACCCTTTGGTGTCCTTCTGGTTAGCACTGCTAGCTCGCACCAAATCTCTTTAGCTAATTAGTGTTCTTCTGGGAAGCAATCTTGGTTCTTGCAGCAGTTCTGGGCACTGCAGTGAATTAGTGAGCATTCCTGGCCTGTGCTCCTTGCAACTCTGTCCCTCATCATTACAAACAAGATTTGATTCAGATTTGTTCATACAATTGTTAATTCTGAGAGATTTAAATTGGTACCCATGTAAGTAAGAGCCAGCAGGGTAACCTCAGCCTGAGTAAAGACAACCAGGGTCCAGGAAGGCATCATAAACCCTGAGGCTTGCCCACAGGAAATGCCTCAGAGCAATATCAGGCAGCCAAAAGTGCCTTCAAGGCCCAGGAGCTCAGCTCAAGAAGCAGCATTACAAAGTACATGTTCAATAAATACATACTAGATGCCCACATGTAGACATTTACCAGCCAGCTTCCCTGATCCCAAGCCTAGGATGCATCTCCCAGACCCCACACCAGTTGCCATAGCCTCCTGGTATTGTTTTGATTTATGAGGCAGTCTATGGCACAATCTCATGCACCTCTTGGCTGCAACATTGAACCTCAGGAACATGGCTGGGTGGGCAGAACTACTGTGGAGATTTTCTGTCAATTCCCTTTTCCCATTGCCAAATAGTCTTCCGCGTCCTTTCCTTTTCTAGGTCTTACAACAATCGGTGCTTGAAGTAGATGAAAGAGGAACTGAGGCAGTGGCAGGGACACTGTCTGAGATTGTCGCTTACTCCATGCCTCCTGTCATCAAAGTGAACCGACCTTTTCATTTCATGATCTATGAGGAGATGTCCAAGATGCTTCTGTTCCTGGGCAGGGTGGTGAACCCCACTGTCCTGTGACTCAGGCGTGTGTAATCAGATGCTGAGTTAGAGGGGTCTGAACCACAGGACGCCGGTGGTGAATGGTAAAGAATGTGCCCTCCTCTGCATCTGGCCAGTTTGTTGTGGCTGTTCTCTGATTAACACAAAAATTAAAATGACTCATATTTTAAGGAGATTCTGTGCAATCTGTCCAGCATTTTAAACTTGCTCCTGAGAGCCTTTGTTGACTGACTGAAGACTAGCTGAGCAGAGTCTTTCTCTGCAGCTCACATGTCTGCACGTTGAGAGCAGTAGGTAGGGCAGCTGGTGTCTCTGGACAGTCTCTGGGGAGCACATGGGCATTCTCCTACAGGCATGTTTCTCCCTCTAGTTCTCTCACGCAAAATCAGGGTTTTAATTTAGTTTATGCCAGAATTCCTCTGTCTCTCTCTTCTTCCCCATCCCCACCCCACCCTCCACTGACAGGGGCCTACAACATAGCTCTGACTGGCATGGAACTCTATGAAGATCAGGCTGGCTTTGAACTTGAAGAAATCCACCTGCTTCTGCCTCATGAGTGTGCGCCACCATGCTCAGAGGGTTTTTGCATTGTAATATGTTTTAATTAATCACAGAATTCTTTCATTTTTATCATGAAATCACCATAATCTATCCTAATCACAATGTCTGGCTCAACAATACCCCCTCATTTCCATGATACATCTGGTCACATATTTCCATCACAGGAACCACAGATCATCCAGTTCAATGCTTTTGTTTTATACGGAAAACAAATGGGCCAGAACTAAGGCCACATCCTGACTTTCAGGAATGACAGGCACTTTTTCCTCTGTGCACTCCTTTCTTCCTAAGAGTTTATATATGTACGTATAAATATGTACGCTGTAGCAATGAATACAGTCTCAATTATATTTAGCTTTTGCCAACAAAAAGTATAAGTCTTGTTCATTGTTGATTAAGGACACATCTTCATGAGCCTTTATCATGTGGAGGGCCTTGACTATAGTGCCCACAGTACGTGATGAATATATCAAGTCTTATATCTCAGTGGGAGGAAAACATTTGCCCAAGGCCACTCAGTATGACCATGGTAAGTCAATCCTTCCTTCTTCTTCTAGTCTCAAGTCTCCATCTTCCCTCTCTAAAAGTCTCTCAGAGACTGCCTTGATCATCCACTGTGGTTAAACAAAAGTAAGCATGGACTTTGTCCCAATATGAAAGGAAAATGAAAATCCCTCTAAAGCATTCTTGGGTAGTCATTTTCTATCTTATAGAAATGAGATAAGACAGTACTTTGGAACTGGGCAGTGGTGGCACACACTTTTAATCCCAGCACTCGCAAAGCAGAGGCAGGCAGATCTCTGAGTTCGAGGCCAGCCTGGTCTACAGAGTGAGTTCCAGATCAGCCAGGACTGTTACATAGAGAAATCCTGTCTCTAAAACACAAACAAACAAAAAGACAGTACTTTGGGATTAGTCAGAGATTCCTGAATGAGGCTAACTAGTCTCAAAATGTCAGCTATGTTGACGAAATTCTTAGTTGCACTTCTATCAGCTGTCTAATAATAAACACACCTAAAGCTAATTAGCTCCTTAGTGACTTAATGGCTGTAAGTCAAGAGTAACATGAACAGGAGGCAGTCTAAACCAGGCTTCCTCACCACAGTCTCAACATTAACTCACTCTGTAGTTATCCCAGGCATTAATGGTGTTCACTTAGGACCAGAAAACTCTTGGACCTAGGAAGAGAGACAAGAGAGGACAGCTCTAACTGGCATTCATAGGTACTTGTGTTCAGTTATTTGGTTGTGCTTGTGGGGAAATAGTAGGAAGAGAAATTTTATTTTATGTATATGGATGTTTGTTTGCATGGATATTCGCACACCAGAGGAGAGCTTCGGATCCCATAGGACTAGAGTTATAGGTGGCTATGAGTCAGCATGTGGATGCTGGGAACTGAACCTGGGGCCAGAAAAGAGGAATTTCTGGCTCTTTTCCCACTTTGAGAGATGAAATCTAGTAAAGCAAGCCTACAGTTATAACCATACTGAAATAAACATAGCCAAAGCCAGTGGCAGGTAGGCCAGCACTGCAGAGGGAGCAGAGCACTGTCAACACACCTAGTTCAAGGAGGTTAGGTTTGCTGACAAAATGAAGATATGAGTGGGTGTGCCTATTTGCTACCCACTTGCATTTTAATCTTCCTGCATATTTGTCTCTGGGATATGATTTTTAACAAAGATTCAAATTTTTAAAAAGTTTTTAATGCTTGTGAAAAGAAATACTTCCAAAAGTAATTTTGAATAACTGTTTAATTGAGAATTTAATGCCTAAGCAATTGACTTCCAACTTTATAAGCAGTGGTGACTATTCTGTCAGATCACTTCCCCCTTGTCCCACATATATAACAAGAATATAAAAAGTTTATAACTACTAAGTGTATTATTTAACAATCAAGTTGAAACTTTCCATTTTATTTAAAGTAGACATAGTCAATGCCGACTTTTTGAACCAGAGTACTGGAAAAACTGATGCAGCCTTGAGGTCCCCTTATGCACAACGAATTCTCCAGACCACAGTAGATTCAATCCCACATTACTAACGCTAGTAGGAGACATAAACTAGTTAAACTGAATTCCCTTATGCAGAACAGTCAAGTTTCTCATGGCTACCAGACTCTCACTTCTGACCTGACTGTCCTTGATGAATGGTGTTATGAGTCCCTCAATGGTCCCTAAAGAGGTCATAGGGAAGGAAAGGAATGACAAATAATGAAAAAGCAGTAAGCAGCTGTCCCAGAGTCCTTTCGAGTTAACATAAATCTGCTCCACTTGCTCATTGTTTAAAGATGAACTGCCCTTTCTTCATAGAGTAAGAGCTGTAGGAAAGTATTTAAAACTTTTCTCACAAGTGCTCATTAACCTCTGCTTTATTTTAAACAAGCTCATTATCCATTTCACATTATAAAAAGTAACCACGCACACATATGCATTCACAAATTAGATCATCTTTATCATACATCAATATATCTTTAAAAAACAAGTATTTTCTGATATCAATATAGGTGTATGCTGATTGCATTTGAAATAGAGAAGCTGACAATAGCTTCATACATTCTATCTCAGGAACCGATACTTTAAAGTTAAGGACAATCTATGTTCCACAGGCAAACTTTGATGGAAGTATTAGCATCATACAAATGGCTGCTGTTGACGTAGTGTGAGCATGATAGCTTGAAATAACAGCTGATTCAAACTAGATTCATCATTTGAAATTAAGGACAGATACAATCCAAAATGTAAACAAAGCATTTATAAAAGAAATTCTGGGAATTAAGGAAATCATCAATCTATCATTTTTAAGGTATTTGTTAGCTAAAATCTTTGCAGATTTTCATGGCCGAATCTAGACTGGGGTTGTCCAGGTGCTGACACTGTCACAGGATCCCAGGACCCATAGGACAGTGTTTGGTTTGATTTTTCTTCTTGGCTTAGAGAGCTCTGAGGAAATACAGTGCCTTTCTTACCTCCCGTGTCCCTGCCCAGGTTGCTACCCAAGGAGCAATCAGCTAATCCAGACTGCTATGGAATGTCTAAATGTACAACTTACAGTAACCAAGAGCAGCTTCTCACAGACAGGCATGTCTCTCCTGCAGTCTGGGTACACATCCCAAGCTGGAGCTCATTACACTGTACTGGGCACTGAGGTTCAGAGCCCATGCTAAAACGTGTCATACCTCCTAGGAATTCTAATTCCAAGTAAGGTACGTTTCACAGCAGCTGCATGATGTCCCCTTCCCCTCCACACTTCAACAAGCCCGGCCATCACTGGAGCTCTTTTCCACCGTCACAGTCTCTGCCGAATGCTTGCTTCCTTCACCAAGCAGTTGACTTAAGGATTGGATTTTCTGGATTTTCTGATGAAAGAAGGAAATAAAGTGGAAGGAGAGAAGGGAGGGAAGCAGGGAAGGAGAAAGAGACCAAAAAGAAGACATAAAACAATTATCCATATAAAGTAAATAAAGAAATGTAAATTAATGCTACTCTGAGTAAGCCTACAACAATGAGAACTCTGTTTAAGAGGAAATGAATTACACGTTAAAGATTACTCAGAATTACCTGTAAGTATCAAAGACCACCCTGTGGACACCTAGTATCATCCCCTTCACTTTCCATAACTTTTTCTACATTTTCGATTTTGTATGACCATAAAGGAAATTGCACAGGAATATCAACTGTCTAGTCTAGAAGACAGACTCTATGCCACACACCTGTACTCCCTTTCTGAGACACTGCTTGTCAGCACCAGAGGTGTCATTGGTAAAGCAAGTGCATGCACTGCACAGAATTTTTCTTAGAGTTTTTACTTCTAAGTAAAACTTACAAGTTTTTCATGAGGAAACACTTTCTGCAATCACTTCACAGGCTTGTTTTAAATAAAGAGTACCTCTTTTCAATTTGGATATGACAGTCTCTGAAACACTAGATACCAATCACCCACCCAACCAATGGGCATGTTAGGAGCATATGCCAGGTGCTGCACAGTCGGGCATGTGTGCAGAAGCAGCTGTGTATGCTAGCAAGCCTTCCTTCAGATCTCTTGAAACAGGTACAAACTCTGTATGAGTTCTCATGGGTCTTTATTGTGAATTCATTTTGGTAACCATCGGTTACTCAAGAAAATAGGAAATACAGTTTGTAAAAAGGAAATGCGTGTTCACAACATAAAAACAGACAAAGTATCTGGAATAAAGGAAAGCCACCACAAAATACTGGTTCAGCAGTCTTTTCTCTAAAAAACAAAACTAGTTCTAATGATGCTACCATGTTCCTCAGGAGAAGCTCAGGGCAGTAAAAATGAGGGTCTGGATTCTAATGAAAAAAAAAAAGATAGTTTATTTTCTTTTTTAAAAAGAGAAAAAAAAACAAAAAAATTAAAAAAGAGGGTCTGGGGTTAAAGAGAGAAATCTCAGGATAAAAAGAGGTCCCTTAAAGGAGCTATGGGCCAGACTTGCTATTTGACAGATATGTATAAACCCGAGGGCCAGGCTCAGCACTACACAGCGACTTTCCTCATACTTGAGTGGGTACATGAGTCTAGCCTAGAGTGCTGCATACCAACCCATGCCACCTCTGCTCCCATAGCTCCTAAATAGCACTAGAGCTTTCTGTAGAAAGAATAGCCTTCAAGTTGGCACCACTATTCTGCAATATCTGAATCACCTGTTGCTATCATTATTTTTGGAGTATTTAGTCCCACTGAGTTTCATCCAATATCTTTATTTTTGAATTCTGAATGAAATGGGGTACACATATTTCTAAGTATATACCAAATGGTCAATCAGAATTTAAAATGAATTATAACTAGCTCCTAAAAGAAACTTCAGCCAGCCAGAGAAGAGTTTCCATAGAAAGAAGTAGCTTAAAAACCTTATTCAAAAACTTAAGCTAGGCATAGTGAGGTATACTTGTAATTAATCTCAGCATTTGGGAGGCTACAGCAAGAGGGCTCAAGTTCTAGGCCAGAGTGGGCTATATAGTGAGCCCTGTCTCAAAAACAGAAAGAAAGGAAGGAGGGAGGGAAGAAGAAAGAGAGGAAGGAGGGAAAATATAGAAAGGAAAAGCCCATGAATTTAGTAAGTTTCATTGTGATTTGAATGGCTGTTATGTATAAAAGAACAAAGCTGTAACTATATTTTGGGCATCCTTGCAGTGTTATTGTAATGGTTTTTAGGGTATCATTCTTTTAAAGGTCTAAAAGAAACAAATTCAAACAAGGAGCAAATAGCACACAAAGGAACCATGAAGAAAGAAAGCAGGCCCTTTATAACTTTAACTTCAAAGCACAAGTATTGTCTACAAATGCGTTCAGCTCAGCCACACTCTGGGTCCTGTGTTGTTGTGACATCAGCTGTAGCCACCTTTCTGAATGCCAGGTGATCAGATACATCAGTTAGTGGGTATTTAGGTACCTAGTAGACGATGTCTTTGCCACATGGTAATATCAAATATCTTGTACACTCTAACATAGTCAAGGCTCTCACTTACCTTCATCTTCCAACATTCCCTTGCTACAGACATTTTTGTTCTTTCAAGTGTGGAAGTGGGAAGTAAGGTGCCCTGAGTCAAACAGCACACTCACCAGTGGGAAATTGGTACTTACAAGGTAGCCTTCCGAGGCTGCGCATCTTTACTTCCACTACTCTTTGGATCAGCTGTGTTACCTGTCCCACGGGAAGTACTGGGCAAAACAGGACTAGGAGAAAAGGAGGCTGGGACGCTACTGGTATTGCGAGTCCGGAATGAGTCATCTGGAAGTTAACATGTGGAGAGGCAGAGGTGTTGATACACTCAGAAAGATGTCTACCAGGGAGAGAAGACTCCAGGCAGTGGTTTTTTTTCCTTATAATTTATATTACAGTAAAGTGTACTACATTAAGATTTGGCATGTGTATAATCCACTGCCATTATCACAATCAGGACATGAAAACATGATATCCCAAATGTTCCATTGGGTCCTTCATAATCATTCCTCCTCTACCTCCTCTTTCTACAAACCACCACTTTTCCCCTTGCTAAAGATTAGCTTGCATTTTCAGGATTTAACATAAAAAGACTTATACAGAATATACTGTCTTATTTTTTCATATGATCAGTATAACTGAAGTTCATCTGTATAGGAATATTAGCACTTCATTGTTGTATATATGGGCTAACGTTTCTCCTAATAAGAATTTACTTAGAGGCAATTGGATGATTCTGGTTCTTTTTTTTTTTTTTGACAGGTTTCTCTGTAGCTTTGGAGCCTGTCCTGGAACTAGCTCTTGTAGACCAGGCTAGCCTCGAACTCACAGAGATCCGCCTACCTCTGCCTCCCAAGAGCTGGGATTAAAGGCATGCACCACCACTACCCAGCTTGATTCTGGTTCTTGACTATAATACATAAAACTGCTATGAACAGTTGTGTATACATCTGTATGTGGCTATATTTTAATATTTTTCAATAAATGCTTAGGAATAGATGTGCTGTTTTTTTTTTAGTGTGTTTAACTTCAGAAAAAAAATTGTCAAAGCATTATCTAGCTCCTATCTTTCTCATTTCCTCTCCCTCTCTATGTACGGAAGTCTGCAGAATACTCTTCATCCTTGAAAGTCATACTATGAGCACTTCATTTTCAAACATGTTATAAGCAACAAGCAGTACAACATTTTCCACACAGCTACTTCTTTGTTTTGTTTTAATAGAAGGTCTCCTACAGCCCAGGCTGCATCAGTATTGCATGCAGCCAAGGATGAGTTAACTCCTGATATTCCTGCCTCCAACTCTCAAGTCTAGGATTGCAGGCAAACACTGCTATGCTCCACTTTCTCACTGTTATTTAGTTGTACTTCCCTAATGATTGGTGATGCAAAACATTTTTATGCACTTATATCTTTATCTTTAAAAATTCACATTCAAATCTTTTATCCATTTTAAGCTTAGCTGCCTAGTCTTCTCTGAACATTCTTGACACAAATCCTTTGAGATAAGATACACTATGCATATTTTCTCCAAGCCAGGTCTTGACTCATGTTTTTCTATGGCCCTGTCTTAAAGTCCAGATGACGCAATATGTCACTCCTTTACTGCTATGGCTAATAGATGTATCTACCTGTTCCAGACTTTCTTCTATAACTTCTTAAAAAATGTAATTTTATCTTTTGTGTTTAAGTCTACATAGTGAGCTAATGATTTCTATATAATGCCAGATATTAATTGAGGCTGAAGTTTGGGGTTTCATAATATAAGTACCCAGTGGGCCTAGTGCCATTTTTTTAATGTACCACAAGATACGGTGACATCATTATACAAGTACCATGACCAAAGCACTTCTGATTTCTAATGATAATCTGGTCTACCATGTTGACATCTTTGTGTGAATATCAATGTTTTGATTATAGAAAGAGATTCTGTTTAAGAAATGAAAACACTGTTTGCAAACTATCTCATATATATACATATTTTTCATCAGAAGAAAATTAACATAGTAAAAAGGAAGACAGATTACTCAAAATAAAACTTAAAAACAAAAGATAGCTAAACTTTTAAAATTTCAGGCCCTCTGAAATTAAGGGTTACTATTATTTATCTTAGTATTTATCAATCATTATTATAGCTCTCAACCAATATATATAACATTAGAAATATATATATAGGCACAAGTAATTTTTAGCAATATATCCTAGTTTTTTCTATGAATAATTCTATCTTTGACTGTAAAATCCACAAGTCAGCAAACTACATGTTGTGAAACAAATGCCTGCCTGGGTACTTAAGATGTTATAGAGCACACCATGTTTATTCAGCAGGCAACACCTATGGCTGCTGTCACACTGCAACAAGAGTTGAGTGACTGTAACTAGACCACAGTAGCTAAAACATTTACCACCTGGCCTTTAAGTGAATCTTCTGGCCCTTGAAACAAACTTTCAGGTACATAAGACAGTAAATGGATTCTGCCCAACTTCCTTATAAATTACTGGAAATGTCTGTCTTCTGCAGGCCCTTTGATCAGTCTAACTAACAGACATCCTAGGAAAAATAATGGCATCTACCTCTGGATAGAAACATACCATTGTCTGCTCCTCGGAGCCCCCTGAGGTTCTTTTGGATCTGCCCAACTCCCTGTGGCCTGATTCAGAAAGGCCTAACTTTTCTTTTCTCCAACGCTGTCCAGAGCCCAAGCACACTTTCTCTGGTACTTTGGACTTGTTATTCCTTCTCTAAAGCACCCCTCCCCACCCTATGGCTGCTTATCTGTCACCTTGCCTTAACTCAGACGGCATGGCTTCCTCTTTTTCTCTTCTCCATTTCTATTCTCTTGGCAACTGCTAAAATTTACATCTTGCTTGCCCTATTGCTTTTGTCTTAAATTCTAATAAAATTATCCCCCAGTTTCAAGTCTATTTATAAATTGTTTTATTAAGGAAACTAAGACCCCCAAAAAGAAACCTCAATTTCCTCAGTCACAAGAAAAGTTTATTGCTTAAGGACTTGATGAGGACACACATTTAAGAAAAAAATCTTGGGGATGGAGAAATGGCTCAGGGGTTAAGAGCACTGACTGCTCTTCCAAAGTACCTGGGTTCAATTCCCAACACCCACATGGCAGCTCACAACTGTCTATATTCCAGTTCCAGGGGATCTGACACTCTCAAAAAGACACACATGCAGGCAAAACACCGATGTACAGAAAAAGAAATAAATTTTTAAAAAGCATCATATCTAGAATTAGAAGGACATACCATTTAAAGAAAATAATACTTTACTAAAGCAGCCATTTTGGGAAGAGTATGTGCTACTGCTTACCAGTTAGTGAGAGCATGGCCGTCCTTACCAGCCCTGAGACGGAAGGTGTATGAGCTAAGGTGGAGCTTTTACTAGGAAAGAAAGTGACATAGTTAGAACCTAAAACCACACTTTCAGACCTAACGCTTGGGGTTTTAACCTTGTTTTGAAAATACTTTCTTCTACTTCTTATGAAACATGCCTGTTGCATTTAGTATTTTTTTTTTTTTACATTTCATGCTTCCAAATACAAACTTTTTCTACAACTTAAAAGCATTTCCTTTGCTTCGTCAAAACTATAGATGTTCTTCTGATGCTCAGCAAAGGTAGGTAAGATGGGTAAAGCCTTCCTGGGACTAGCTACAGTCCTATCTATACATCCTGAGAACACTGTTGGCTAGGAGAAATCCATGGATCTACTGATGATACCAAAAGCTAGAGCTGAAAGTCTGGAACAAGGTATGATTAATAACAGAAAAAAATAAATCATACTTTTCTTCAATATGTTCTTTTTTAAATTTTTTTATTTAAATTTTTTTTCATTTTACATACCAACCACAGTTCCCTCTCCCTACCCTCTCCCCACTCCCCCAAACTTTCTCCCACCCAACCCCTATCCACTCCTCAGAAAAAGTAAGACCTCCCATGGGAAATCTACAAAATCTGGCCTATCAATTCAACATGTTCTTTATCTTGAGAAATAATATTTTTAAAGTATTTGTGCTTTCTTTCTAATTTTCAATATCTTTTGATAATAATTTAATGATATAATTATATAGAATAAATAATATGTAATTTTTTATCAATATCTTTTAAATATTTTTATTAATTGAGAATTTCATACAATGTATTTTGACCATATTTTTCCCTATCTCTTCCTGGATCCACTCCCTTTTCTATCTTCCCACCATATCTCCCAATGCCATGTCTTTTTTTCTTTTTATTTAAATAACCTACCAAGTACAGATTGTACTTCCCATATACTCACAGGTGTGGGACCATCCACCAGAACAGAGTTGACCCAGCAGGGGTCACAACCTTAAATAAAACAAACCTGCTCCCCCCAGAAGCCATCTGCTGTCAGGAGCTGCTCAGTTAGGGGTAAGGGTCATAAGTCCCTACACCTTCCATGCCAGAATACTGACTGGCGTTTGATATTGTGCAGAGGTTTTGTGCAGGCAACCTCATGTTTTCTTAAAACTGCTTGGCTTTTCCAGTGACCTACAGCTGTTAATGCTATATGCATTTAACGCATAATACAAATCGTGGTAGTTTAATCATGCCGATTCTCTTCTAATCTTAGCTGGTTACAATTTTGACCTGGGCTATAAACAAAAAGCAGATATATATCTACTATCAGATCTCTGATGTGACTGCCTACTGGATAAACACACCTGTGGCCTGTCCATTTGCAGAAATGATACAATGTACATGGATGTGCTGCCTGTTGGCAGATAGAGCATGCTCACACTCATTTGGAAGTTAAGAGGTATGTAAAATATATTCCACCTTTCTCATAGAGAATGGGTATATTCTGTGATATTTTCATATAATGTCATGGAACCAGTCTCCTACAGTGCAAAGATACCCATTTTTTTTAATTTTTTTTCCTTGAGAAAAGATTTCCTGAGATACCCATTTTAATACAAATAGTAAATACCTTTAAGTACCTTCTATTTTTAGTGTGATAATCTTTACAGAAGAAATTGATAAATTGTCAGCCCATAAAAAATTCAAATTAGGGCTGGAGAGATGGCTCGGCAGTTAAGAGCATTGCCTGCTCTTCCAAAGGTCCTGAGTTCAATTCCCAGCAACCACATGGTGGCTCACAACCATCTGTAATGAGGTCTGGTGCCCTCTTCTGGCCTACAGGCATACACGCAGAAAGAATATTATATATATAATAAATAAATAAATATTTTTAAAAATTCAAATTAATTCTGAGTTTGTGATGTAAATATTTACGTATGTAAATATGTAAATAAGCAGGGTGACCACAAAATAAAAACTCCAGTTAAGAACGAACAGTTGACAGCACATACCTAGCACACTTGTCTAAGTTGCCATATTTTGCATGAAAAGCTTGATTATTAAAAGATTGGCTTCGAATCAATTTGGATTTCTTGATTTCTTTGCCTAGAATGAAGCAGAATGAAGGAAAATACAAACTCTCAGTTCCCCCTTTACCATTCCAACCCCTTAGTCCTCCTCAAATCCTACAATGTCCAGAAAAACCCAGATGGGCGAAGTCTCCACTCTTCAGTCTGAGCTGACTGCAGTAATTCTAATTCAAACCACCCATGAGGAATAATGGGGAAACTAACTGGAAAAGCTAAGGGCACTTTCAAAGTCAAAGTGTAATGGCCTGGCAGGGATAAAGATGCTCTACATAGACAACTCTGACCCACCCTTTGGCCATCAAAATATTGAAACAGCAGACTTCAAGAAACTAGAGTGTCCCAGGAATTTCATGCAGGATGAAGGGAGAGACTAAATTCCTGGATAAGGGATTTGCACTCTGTCAGATCACCTGAGAGAGGAGATAGTGAGTCAGTGGCAGAGAGGACTACAAAGTGACCTTGACTGCTCAGATATGCATAACTTTAGCCTTTAATTAAACCTGAACCTCATAACAGGACCCTGGAAATGGTCTTAGCAGGGAGGGAAGGTGGACCTCACTAGACCTTTATTCCTCTTTCCAGTGTAGCCACAGTGAATAAATTTTCATTTTTGTTTTTACTATTAAAAAATAAATATAAAGACACATCAGAAATCATATATATATAATCTAAAAGCAAATAAAACTGTAATTTGTCTTTTAAAACAAACATTATATGAATCATAAAACAGAAAGAGTCCTTACTTGTTGATGGAGTGCTAGATGGTCCAGGAACAGAAACGGGGATGTTCTTGGGTAGGCTCTGCGTTGGTGTCCTAGGGTCTCTGCCTAAAATAAACTCTGTTTTAAGTTGTGTAACTTCATCTGACTCCTGTGAAATTCACTATCCCTATTTAACCAGCACTATTTCCCAAATACTTTTACTTTATATTTTCCATGGTTCAGTCTCCGCTATTGAGGGTCAGTTCCACAACCTTGTAATTGTCATCCAAGATTAAGGTTCCCTTTCCAGGGACTCTGAGCCTCACACTGTTGCCTCCCTTTTCTTATGTACTCCTAATACCTATACCACATTAGTCAGCCAATTTTCAAAAGTAACTTCTTTTTAAAAGCAAAAAAAAGTAATTTTCCCTATCAAATTAAAGCTCCACATAGTATTTCAGGATACAAAGATACAAAGTTACTGTAGCCTTGGTTGCCTAAATGTCAAAAGAATGGAATCAACCTCTGGGTGAGCCCAAATCTGCTCCCTTAAGAGCTAATCCAATTGGGCTGGTCAAAACCCTGGCTAGGGGACCATAATGCTTCAAGAAGGCAGATTTGCCTTGATAAAGAGAAGAGAAGAATAATAATCCCTCTAATAATTTACCTTTTCCCCAGAACTCCTGGCTTCTGCGCAGTTGCTTAGAGAACTGCAGGCACACAGCTTCACAGGTCTGCATTTCTCAGCGCGCTTTCCCTAATGCTTTGGGCTTCACCTTCTCTAAAGCTCCCCTCCCCACAGCATGCTTTCCTGTCCACCACTCCAGCTAACCTCCTGGCTTTCTCTTTTTCTTTTCCATCTTCCTCCTCCAGGCAGCTACCTGGATTAACAGCCCACTCTCAGGTTTTTCTTTTAAAACCAGTGAAGTTGTTCTTGAGCTTCCTTTTGCATGTATTCTGCTCTACAGAAAGGGACCTGGATTTCCCCAGTCACCCAACATTAATCCTGTAACTGAGTGAGAAGACACAGAACCACTTACGTTTCTTCTCAAAGCTTTTCTCACTGGAGGACCTCCCTTCGTTCTGATGCTTCTCCTTCTCAAGCTGTTCCTGTTGGGATACAGTGGCGTGTTACAGGTGCAGCGTGGGAGTTTGTTCTGGGGAAAATGACTCTAGCCTTCAGAGATACAAATATACCTCACAAAAACACCCCTAAAAAATGGGGCTTTCCCTTGGTACAGAATTTGGAGGATTTCCACTGTTTTAATTTGTGGTATTTTATATCACAGAACATTGCTCTTGGGAGTAAAACAATGACTTCGGCATCACTCTACAATGAGTATTTATTTCCTACAAGGTGTTCGCTGGTTCTCATCAACATAACATATGCTTAAGTATGGCCATTTCAAGTCCTATTTGGCAAACACAAAATGTTTTTCTTTAAAAAGACTAAGAGGCCTTCACTGGGTGGTGGTGGCACACAACTTTAATCCCAGCACTCAGAAGGTAAAGACAAATCGATCTCTGTAAATTCAAAGCCAGTTTTGTCTACAGAGCAAGTCCCAGAACAGCCAAGGCTACAAAGAGAAACCCTGTCTCACAAAACAACAACAAAAATAAAACAAAAACAAAAAACTGAGAGGAAAAAGAAGTCTACCAAACATCATATTTAAAGTATCTTATTGAAGCATGATATATAGAAAAACTGAGGACTATAAACTTAAGATCGCAGGTATTTCCACAGTGGAGCTTGTGATTTTTAAGAGAATATTGCTGACAGAATTAAATTAACCTGGGCTAGCTTTAGTCCTTTAAACAGGCATTCATTGCCCACCGCTGTACTTGCTTCAACATCTTTTTAACTATCAGACAAAACTTTTGAAATGTGTGTTTAGGGGACTAGAGAAATAGCTCAATGGAAAGAACAAATACTGCTCTTACAGAGGACTCATGCTGACTCACAACTGCCTACAAGTTCCAGGGGATCTGACTCTGGCTTCTGAGGACATCTGCACTCACACATACAACACATAACTAAAAATAGAGGAGAATTATTCTTCAGCGGCGGACACTAGCTTCCACTAAACCAAAGACTACAAATATTATCAGGCAGCACCTGATAGCTACAGCAGAGATGTCCCCACTTGACTGAGGTATGCCTGCCTGCCTGTGGTCCCGAGGTATAAGGAGATGAGTATGAGCAAAATACAATGCTGTATATGTATAAAAATATTATGAAAACCATTCTCTTGTATGCTAACTAAAAAAGTTAATAAAATCCAAGTTCTATTTGTCTGGATGCTTTTTCTAAAACCTCTGTTTCTTTGTTTCTGCTCTTGCTGGTGCTAGAAATGGAACCCTGGGCCTTCCAAAGTAGCATACACTAACACTAAGTGACATCTCCAGCCCCTAGATTAGCTTAGCTCCAGTTAACACAACACTAACTAAAATGCCAACACACTTTTGACAAATAAAAATTGACAAACTAGATGTCAACCTTTTTTCAAAATGCAAAGGTCCTACTGTGAAAGGTTGTAAAGCAATTTCAGTGGGGGAAAAGGAGTTTTGGTAAGTAGAGCCAAAATAGCTAATAACAAAAGATATAAATATTAATTTAAAATTGGGCAAAGGTCTAAGTGTAAAATTCAAAACTCAAATTTGTAGAATCATGGAGGAACATGTGGAGTCAAAAAGACAAAGGATTCTTAAAGAAAACAGCAATCATAAAAGAAAGGCTTAATAAGTTGGACTTTAGGGCTGGAGAAACAAGACAGTGGCTAAAGTACTTGAGGCCTTTGCAGAGGACCTGAGTCTGGTTCCTAGCAACCCAAGTGGGTGGCACATATCCACCTACACTCCAGGAGGCCTGATGCCCTCTTCAGGTCTTCAAGGGAAATCACATTTCTGTACATATACCACATACATACACACACACACACACACACACACACACACACAATCAAAAATAAATCTTTTTAAAGAATAAAAGGAACATCAAAATTAAAACTTTCCAAAGAATGTTAAATACATCAAGAGAAGGCAGAGTTCAAGAAAATCTTCACAATATGTGCATGTGACAGAAGAGTTCTTAATGATGTGAACAGCCTGCTTTAGGTTCTCAAAATGGACTTACAAAAATAAGATAGGGAAACAAGCTCCACCGGGAGCAGAAGCCAGAAGCAAATCCAGTCCCGGAAGCCAACCTAGTCCTGGGACACTGGTGAACCAGGATTGAGCCAGCGACCTCCACCAGAACCGGAAGGGGACTGAACCAGCTACCTAGGACAGAGAGCTAACAAGCTCCACCAGGAGCAGAAGCCAGGAGCAAATCCAGCCCCAGAAGCAAACCCAGTCCCTGGACACTGGTGGATCAGGATTGAGTCAGCAACCATATCCAGAGTCAGTGATCTCCACTGGAACAGTTACAGGGGAGTAACCGCTGAGCAAGTGAGCCAGAGCCAGAGACCCCTGAAGGTCCCAGATTTATGTCTGGGACCTTCAGGGGAGTAGACCTAAGCCAGGACCCCGGTGGGTCCGGGTGTGAGTCTAGGACCTCCCAGAAACTAGGCCTGATCTAGGACCTCTGCCAGTCTGGGCATGAGTGACCTTGGGACCTCTGAAGGAATAGGCAGTAACCAGAGATCTGTGGGGCCAGGTGTGAGTCTGGGTCCTCAGAGGGAGTAGGTCTGAGCCAGGACCTCTTTAGGTACAGGCATTGGTCTGGGACATCAAAGGGAATAGGTAGGAAACTCTGAGTGTCTGAGCATGAGTCTGGGACCTCTGAGGGAGTAAGCAGGTCCTTTGTGATTTTGGGCACACCTGAGCCTAGGACCTCCAAGGCAGTAGACCGAAGTCAGAAACCTTTCTAGGTCCAACTCCAACCCATGGACTTCTGCAGGAGGGGTTCCACACCAGGATATACAGAAACAGGGCAAAGCCAGAAACCAAGGCCAAAGTAAACCTGAGACAGCAAACTTTAAGGGAACAGAGCAAATCACAGGAGAGCTAAGCTATCTCTAGGAACATGGAGTAACCAACAGGGTAACAAGAACTGTGACACTGACTGTACCATGAGGAACAAACATCTGAGCTTTGTATTTACTGGCACCTAGAAGATTATTCAACAGAATCTCAGACAGCCCCAACCACACCTATTAGAAGAAAAGATGAGTAGAAAAGGTAAGAACATATGCAACACCGCAAAGAGCAACACAACACCAGTAAAACAAAAAGACCCTACAACAGCAAGACCTGAACAACCAACTATGGATGAAACAGAAAAAAAATGACTTAAAAAGTAACTTCAAGATAATGTTTGAAACTCTAAAGGAGGAAAGGAGAAATTCCCTTAAATAAATGAAAAAAAGACAAACAAAAAAATTGAAAGATATCAGCAAATCACTTAAAGAAAACCAAGAAAAAGAAATCAAACATATGAAAGAAACTATTCAGCACTTGAAAAGAGAAATAGAGGCAATAAAGAAAACACAAACCAAGGGAATTATAGAAACAGAAATCATGAGAAAATGATCAGGAACCACAAACACAAGCATGAACAGCAGAATAAAAGAGATAGAAGAAAGAATCTCAAGCACTAAAGATACTATAGAGGAAGTAGACTTAAGAGTTAAAGAAAATAAATAGAAAATAAAAAAATTATATTAAAAAAAAGAGTTAAAGAAAACATTAAATCTAACAAGAGCTTAACCCAAAATATCCAGGAAATATGGAACACCATGAAAAGACCAAATCTAAGAATAATAGGTATAGAAGAAGGAGAAGTTAAACTCAAAAGCAAGAAAACATATTTAACAAAATCATAGAAGAAAACTTTCCCAACCTAAGGAAAGATATACCTATGAAAATACAAGAAGCTTACAGAACACCAAATAGACTGGATCCAAATAAAACATCCTCTTGCCACATAATAATCAAAACACTAAACATACAGAGTAAAGAAAAACTATTAAGAGCTGCAAAGGAAAAAGGCCAAGTAACATATTAAGGTAGACCGATCAGAATTACACCTGACTTCTCAGTGGAGACAATGAAAGCGAGAAGGTCCTAGTCAAGCCTTATGTAGACATTAAGAGACCACGGATGCCAGCCCAGACTACTATACCCAGCAAAACTGTAAGTCACCATAGAAGGACAAAACAAGATATTCCATGACAAATCTAGATTTCACCAATACTTAGCCACAAACCCAGCCCAACACAAAATACTAGAAGGAAAACTCCAACCCAAGGAAGTTGGCTACATCAACAAAAACACGACTGATGGTCTCATAGCAGCAAATCCCAAAGAAGGGGAAAACACACAAATTAACATCACCAACAATGACAACTAAAGTAACAGGAGATAGCAATCACTGGTCACTAATATCTCTTAATGTAAACGGACTCAACTCACCCATAAAAAGGCACAGGCTAAGAGATTGGATACAAAAACAGAATCCATCCTTCTTCTGCATACAAGAAACACATCTCAACCTCAAAGACAGACATCATCTCAGAGTAAAGGGTTGGGAAAAAAATATACGAATCAAAGGGACCTAAGAAACAAGCTGATATAGCTATCCTAATATCTAACAAAATAGACTTCAAGCTAAAATCAGTCAAAAGAGACAAAGAAGGACATTTCATATTAGTCACAGAAAAAATCCATCAAGAGGAAATTTCAATACTGAACATCTATGCCCCAAATCCAAGGATACCCTTATACGTGAAAACACGCACACACACACACACACACACACACACACACACACACTTCTAAAGCTTAAATCATACATTAAACCCTATACACTAATAGTGAGAAACTTTAATGCTCCCCTCTCACCACTGGACAGGTCAATCAGACAAAAAATGAACAGAGAAATAAAGGAACTAACAGATGTTGTGACTCAAATGGACTTAACAGACATCTATAGAATATTCCATCCAAACAGGAAAGAATGTACCTTCTTCTCAGCACCTCATAATACCTTCTCAAAAACTGACCACATACTCGGTAACAAAACATACCTCAACAAATACAAAAAATTGGAATAACCCCCATGTGTCTTATCAGAACACCATGGTCTAAAACTAGAAGTCAACAGCAATACTAATTCCAGAAACCCCACAAACACATGGATATTAAACAGTGCTTCCCTGAATCATCACTGGGTCAAGGAAGAAATAAGGAAAGAAATTAAATACTTCCTAAAATTCAATGAAAATGACCATGAAACATACCCAAATTGATGGGACACAATGAAAGCAGTGTTGAGAGGAAAGTTCATAGCACTAAATGCCTACATAAAGAAGCTAGAAAAATCCCACACTAGTGAATTAACAGAACATTAGAAAACTTTAGAACAATAAGAAGCAAACTCACCTAAGAGAACTAGACGGCAGGAAATAATTAAAGTGACAGCTGAAATCAACAAAATAGAAACAAAGAAAACAGTATAAAGAATCAATGAGATGAAGAGTTGTTTTTTTGAGAAAATCAAAAAGTAGACAAACCTTTATCCAAACTAAACAAAAGGCAGAGAGAAAATATCCAAATTAACAAAATCAGAAATGAAAAAAGGGACATAACAACACACATGGCAGAAATACAGAGAATCATCAGGTCATATTTCGAAAACCTGTACTCCACAAAATTGAAAAACCTTAAGGAAATGGACAACTTTCTGGATAAACATCACTTACCAAAATTAAATCAAGACCAGATAACCAAATTAAACAGTACTATAACTGGTGAAGAAATATAAACAGTCATCACAAGTCTCCCAACTAAAAAAAGCCCAGGACCAGATGTTTTCAGCTCAGAATTCTACAAGACTTTCAAAGAAGAACCAATACCAATACTCCTCAAATTATTCCACACAATAGAAACAGAAGGAACATTGCCAAACTCTTTTTATGAGGCTACAATTACCCTGATACCCAAACTACAGAAAGATACTACTAAGAAAGAGAATTACAGACCAATCTCACTTATGAACATTGGTGCAAAAATACTAAATAAAATACTGGCAAATCGAATCCAAGAACACATCAGAACCATCATCCACCATGATCAAGTTGACTTCATCCCACAGATGCAGGGATGGTTCAATATACAAAAATCTGTCAACATAATCCACCATATAAACAAGCTGAAAAATAAAAACCACATGATCATCCCATTAGATGCTCAAAAAGCTTTCGACAAAATACAACATCCCTTCATGATAAAAGTCTTGGAGAGAGCAGGGATACAAGGAACATACCTAAACATAATAAAGGCAATATACAGCAAGCCAACAGCCAACATCAAACTAAATGGAGAGAAACTCCCAGCGATCCCACTGAAATCAGGAACAAGACAAGGTTGTTCACTCTCTCCATATCTATTCAATATAGTTCTTGAAGTCCAAGCTAGAGCAATAAGACACCAAAGGGAGATCAGGGGGATACAAATTGGAAAAGAAGTAAAACTCTCACTTTTTGCTGATGATATGATAGTTTATATAAGCGACCCCCAAAATTCTACCAAGGAACTTCTACAACTCATAAATACTTTCAGTAATATAGCAGGATACAAGATTAACTCAAAAAAAAAGTAGCCTTCCTGTACACAGATGATAAAAGGGCTGGGGAAGGAATCAGAGAATCAACACCCTTCACAATAGACTCAAATAGCATAAAATATCTCAAAGTAACTATAACCAAACAAGTGGAAGACTTGTATGAAAAGGTCTTTAAATCTTTGAAGAAAGAAATTGAAGAAGAAGCCAAAAAGTGGAAAAATCCCCTATGCTCCTGAATTAACATGGTAAAAATGGCAATCTTACCCAAAGCAATCTACAGATTCAACATAATGCCCATCAAAATCCCAGCAAAATTCTTCAAAGATGTCGAAAGAATGGTACTCAACTTCATATGGAAAAGCAAAAAAAAAAAAATTATGTACAATAAAAGATCATCTGGAGACATCACAATCCCTGACTTCAAACTCTACTATAGAGCTATAGTACTGAAAACAGCCTAGTATTGGCATAGGAACAGACAGGAGGACCAATGGAACCAAACAGAAGACCTGGATATCAATCCATACATCTTCGAACACCTGATTTTTGACAAAGAAGTAAAAAATACCAAATGGAAAAAAAAGAAAGCATATTTAACAAGTGGCGCTGGCATAACTGGATATCAACATGTAGAAGAATGAAAATAGACACATGTCTATCACCATACACAAAACTTATGTCCAAATGGATCAAAGATCTCAACATAAAGCCAGCCACACTGAACCTTAGAGAAGAGAAAGTGGGAAATACACTTGAATGAATTGGCACTGGAGACCACTTCCTAAATATAACCCCAGCAGCACAGACACTGAGAGAAACAATTAATAAATTGGACCTCCTAAACTGAAAAGCTTCTGTAAAACAAAGGACATGGTCAACAAGACAAAAACGACAGCCTACAGAATGGAAAAAGATCTTCATTAACCCCACATCAGACAGAGGTCTGATCTCCAAAATATACAAAGAACTCAAGAAATTGGTCACCAAAAGAACACATAATCCAATAAAAAAAAAGTGGAGTACAGACCTAAACAGAGAACTCTCAACAGAGGAATCTAAATGGCTGAAAGACACTTAAGGAAATGTTCAACATCCTTAGTCACCAGAGAAATGCAAATCAAATCAACTCTGAGATTCCATCTTACACCTGTAACAATGGCCAAGATCAAAAACACTGATGACAACTTATGCTGGAGAGGTTGTGGGGAAAAGGGAACACTTCTGCATTGCTGGTGGGAATGCAAGATGGTACAATCCCTTTGGATGTCAGTGTGGCTATTTCTCAGAAAATTAGGAAACAACCTTCCTCAAGACCCAGTAATACCACTTTTGGGTATATATCCAAAGGATGCTCAATTGTGCCATAAGGACATGTGCTCAACTATGTTCATAGCAGCTTTGTTCTTTATAGACAGAAGCTGGAAACAACCTAAATGCCCCTTGTCCGAAGAATAGATAAGGAAAATGTGGTACATTTACACAATGGAGTACTACACAGCAGAAAAAAAAACAATATCTTGAATTTTGCAGGAAAATGGAGTTAGAAAACATTATTTTGAGTGAGGTAACCCAGACACAGAAAGACAATTATATGTACTCACTCTTAGGTGGTTTTTAAACATAAAGCAAAGAAAGCCAGCCTACAAACCACAATCCCAGAGAACTTAGACAACAATAAGGACACTGAGACTTACATAGATCAAATCTACATGGGAAGTAGAAAGTAGAAAAAGACAAGATCTCCTGAGTAAATTGGAAGCATGGGGACCTTGGGGTATGGCTAAAGGGGAGTGGGGAGAGGCAGGGAGGGGAAACAGGGAAAGATGTAAAGCTCAATAAAAAAAAGTAATTTTGATGTAAAAGTTGTAAAAAAAAGATAGGATGGCCTATAAAGAAATCACTAGTTTGTATCTTTGGCATCAGGGACATTTAAAGCCACATGAGTTCTAGAAAATATGATCACCATAGTGGTAGAGACTTACTCAATGAGTTTTGAGAATGGATTGCCAGGGGTAGGTGGGAATGTCTCAACTGAGACTGAAAACATGTGGTTGTATACCCACTAGTTTCACTTAAGAAACTCATTTTCCTAAACACTCTCAACTATAATTTTTCTTCCAATTTATAACAGATAAAACCTTAGAAAATGAAGACTTTTCTTCAGTCTTTCAGGAAATTTGCAAAACTGAAATAAATTAGTTTTAGGTATACTATCAAAGCCCATCTAAAGCTAGTCAGAAAAAAGCGTGCATGGGACAACATACCATTTCCAAAAACAGTAGTTCTTCTCTTTCTTTCTCTTGATCCAATAAATCTTTCTCATAATTTTTTTTCTGAAACTGTTTAAAATTTAAAATGGCATTGTTAATCATTTGTGCCAACATCTTGCTGACTCTAAGTATCTCTTTACTATAAGTGTAGAATGTACTCACCATATCCATAGACATTTCCATTCTGTCCAACTCTAATACTGTCTACAAGAAAAGTTTTTAGAAATTACAGTTGATCCAACAGTAATGAAATGCAATCAATAAGTATTTCCGAAAGAAACTCTTTCTCCGGGGATATTCAAAGAGAAGAGCTTACACTATGCTAATCTGTAACCACCAATAAGTCTTCAAAAACTGTGTTCCAAAGTCACACCCATTCATAATCTTTTTATTGATCTTCTAACAGTGTCAGTTACATATTAAGTTCAGTTTTTGAACGCTGAAGCATTTTAATGTTTGAACTTACTAACCCAAATGTTTTACTATCTTAGTGTTTCAACATTTTCAAACAATTCACATAACAAATCCTCATGCTAGAGCAAAATCATATGGCATAAATTTTGGAAAGAGATGTGATTGGGTGATATCAGATCTTCACCACCTATTAGCATGTTCTCAAGCAGCCAGTTTCTAGCTCTAATGCCTTTACAAGGCCAAACAGACCACTGGATTCACTCTGAGGGTTCTTCCCACACTCTTCTAGAAAAAAATGACTTCCTGAATTGAGAACAATAATAGATAAAATCTAGTGAATGAGGTATAGGTCATCATTTGAGCCAGGCTCAGAGACACCTCACAGGCGCTCAGCTCTCCCACAAGGAACTCTTACTGCTAGTAACAAAAGTGATTACCTTTAGAAACACCCTTCAAAGGAACTGGTATAGCCAGCAGCAGCAAACACACCTACCATGTATTAATTCTTACCATAGATTATTATCCTATCAAGTTAAGGTAGGGAAGCTGAAGTTAACACTGCCATACTGCAAGACACATGCTTTCTAAGCAGGAGAGACACTTACTTTTTTCACAATAGCCAGGACATCTTTATCTTTTTCTTGACACAGGAGTTTTCTCACACACATTTCTAACTGCTGAAGAAGATGCATGTCTGCAGGAATCTTCAGAGCTGATTTCACTTTGGGCAGCATGTAGCAAAGTTTCATTCTGCATTTAGAGTGAGCTTAATAATAACTAACAGTAATAGGAATGTGCCACAGAAAAAGTTTAATCTTTAGAAAATCTCAGAGTTCAATTGTCCATGCATGTGTGGAGTGCCTACTATTTTATAAGGCATTCATTATTGTGGGTACCAAGACACAAAATTGAACCAAACCAATAAAATCCTCTGTTTTTCAAGAATTTACATTCTGGTATGAGGCATGAAAAATAGAATGCTTATAAAGAAAATGTCTGCCAGAAAGTGGTGAGTCAGTCAGAAAGGCAGTGTTGGAGTAGTAATGTTTTCACTGAAAATATGTATTTAAGGAAAGATCTAGAAAAACAGGTAGCAAGTCTCTCACAAGTGTCTGGAAAAGCATTATGGCCAAGAAGGAAGGCTTGCCTAGTGATACTCTGAATTAGTAAACTAGCCTCGAGAAAGAATATAGCAAAGATGAGCTTAGTAGGAGACCTGAGTGGTGACAAGGGGCCAGCTCATGCAGGGCTCTGCGGGAAACTGTAGAGCCTGGCTTCTATTTCAAATGCAATGAGAAGCACTGGAGGCTATGAGCGGAGGAGTATAGTGATCTAACTTAATTTTCCTAATTATCATCTGCTGTTTTGAGATTAGATTGTAAGTGGTTAAGGAGGAAAGAGAAGCAATGGAGAAAACCCCAAGCAAGAGCTAATGGTGCTTTGGGCAAGGAGCAGTAGAGGTACCCAGAGAAGCTTGCTCTCTGCATGTCTTTTGTGAGCCGCAGAGTGGCCACAGGGACTTGCAGATGGGAAGATGGAGAGAAAGGGGTTTAGGTTTTAGGCCTGGGCAGTGGGAAGTTGAACCAGTTGCTTATTGAGATGCAGAACACTGCAGCAGGAAGAGATGCAGACAAAGCAGAACCAGCACTGAATGCTAGACAGATAAAGTCTGGGATGCCCATTAGATATTCTATGGGAATTATAAATCTGCAGCTAGCTCAGTAAGCCTGGAGTCCAGGTGGATGTCCTTGCAAAAGATAAAGTCAGGAATGCATAAAAATGATAGTTTAGGCAAGGGAATGGAGAGATCGTTAACATAATACAGGCAGTGAGGGAAGAAGAGAAATGGGAAACATGCTAAGGCTCTACCATTGTCTAGATCCACTAAGAAGAAACAAGGAGGCTAAGGATTGCCAGGGAGGTGAGCAGAGATCCAAGAGACTGAAGAAAGCCTTCCCAGGAGAAGGTTGTCAATGAGATGTTCTGCTTTGTTAAACTCCACCTTTCCTTCTTTTTAGGCTAGTTCTGGGGACAGAAGCTGGGCAGTTGTCTATCTTAAAGCTGCTAGATTCATTTGTTCATCGTGTGTTCTCCAGGTCAATGCTCTGTATTTCTTTTTGCAAATCTTGAGGCAGCTAAGTGCCACTGCAGGGTTTCCAGGATGGTGTTTTGGCATATGCTTAGCTGAGAGCTTTTTCTACACAGTAGCCCTTGCTTCTGCGCATATGAAAAGTGAAGAAGCTCTTCTCTGGGATTCTCAATACTATACACCAACTGTCTCCATCCCAGCCACTGCTCAGCACAGATACTGGGGACATTGTAACTAATAACCCTCAAGTCCCCCCTGGAGAAATGACTTCACTCTGGTCACTGGGGAGAAGGGTCCTTGAGATACCAATATAGGATTTTCCTAGCCTTAATGGTGTCTAAATGCAGTAAATTAAATATTGAAACATTTATGTAGAGAAGCACACAATTTATTACCCAAAGCATATCTAGAAAACATTTTGATTCATGGGCCACAAGATAACAAAGTTCTTGAAAATAAGGACTATAGCTTTTAGTAAGAAATACTTTTTAAGGATCTTATCATATTAATAATAGTTACTCAGCCAGACTGGCAGGCTGGCTTTGATTTGTGCTTGCTCAATTCAGTAAGACAAAAGGTAATGCCATCAATTAAGAGACTGAGATTGTTATCCCAAGACTATTACTAACCAGGCTATGAAGCCAACTGAGCTATCCACCAACTGGTAAAGAAAATATGGTATATAAGTACAATTCTAACAAAGAATGAAACACTACTACAACACAAAGGGCTCAGGAAGGTGTACATAAATTAAAATAAAGTAAACACAGAGTACTGTATGTTGCTCCTTAGATTCCGTAGATGTGGAAGCTAAAAAGGTGAATAGTGGAATGGTGGTCATCAGCAAGTAGACGGGTAGGAGGAAGGAAGGCTGGAAGGAGGCGCAAAGAATGTAAAACTTCAGTTAATATACAAGGAATATCTTGAAGCCTTTGCAATATAGTGGATATCTATAGTTCATAGCAACTCATTACATATTTTATAAATAAACAAAGACCAGTCTGAAGGCTCTGAGCAAATAAAAATGACAAATATTTAAGGAAAAGAAAAATGCTAACTAGCCTGATTTTTATTGCTATATATCCATATATTATCCATGCAGGATCCCATAAATGTGTGGCTGTTAAGTCAATCTTCAAAAACAACTACTAAGACTCTGAAAGTAAGCATCAATTCCTTACTTGACTTAATTAAGAAAGTTTTCAAACATTTGCCACAAAGGACATATGATAAACGCAATATTTTCAAACCTTGCAGAGTGATACATACCTCACATTCGCTACTGGGTCATGGGTTAGTTCAATAACAGGTAGAAAGAAATATTTGCAGAAAAATGATTTGGAAAAGATCTCTATGATAAATTCACAGGTATCCAAAAACCGAAGTCTATTCCAATAACTCTTTCCTTGGCCCAACTCTACAAACAACAAAATATCATAACTTAATTTTCCCTACATGAAATTAAATATTATAAAGCTAAATATAAAAATGTATGCAAAGTTTCGTTATACCTGTAACTTATTTAACAAATATAATAGATAAGAAAAAATAGTCATTGTATACTCTAGGTTTGTAGACTAGAATATTTACACACCAAAAACTAGGAAAGGATTTTATTAACACTGAATAAACCCCAGTAAGCACTGATGGACTGTGATGACTGGATGTCTAGCGTTACTATGTTTGACCATTGCCTATATGCTGAGTACCCTGTCTTATTGATAGTGTCTTAGACCTGGAAAGCAATCTGAGTGAAAAAATATCCATAACCTCCTGTGTCTTATCAGATCATCATGGATTAAAGTTAGAATTCAACAACAATGCTACCCCCAGAAAGCCTACAAACTCGTGGAAATTGAACAGTCAACTACTGAACCAACCTGGATCAAGGAAGAAATAAAGAAAGAAATTAAAGTCTTCCTTGAATTCAATGAAAATAAAGAAACAACATATTCAAACTTATGGGAAACTATGAAAGCAGTCCTAAGAGGAAAGTTCATAGCACTAAGTGCCCACTTAAAGAAAACAGAGAAGGCACACATTGGAGACTTAACAGCCCACCTGAAAGCTCTAGAAAAAAAAGAAGCAGACTCACCTAGGAGGAGTAGAAGACTGGAAATAATCAAACTGAGGGCTGAAATCAACAAAATAGAAAAACAGAAAACAATCCAAAGAATCAATGAAACAAAAAGCTGGTTCCTGGAGAAAATCAACAAGATTGATAAACCCCTATCCAAACTAATAAAACGCCAGAGAGTGAATATGCAAATTAATAAGATCCGAAATGAAAAGGGGGACATAACCACAGACACAGAGGAAATTCAAAGAATCATTAGATCTTACTACAAAGGCCTATATGGCACAAAACTGGAAAATGTAAAAGAAATGGACACGTTCTTAGATAAATACCATATACCAAAGTTAAACCAGGACCAGGTGAACAACCTAAATAGACCTGTTAGTCGCGAAGAACTAGAAGCTGTTATCAAAAACCTCCCTACCAAAAAAAGCCCAGGACCTGATGGTTTCAATGCGGAATTCTACCAGAACTTCCAAGAAGACCTAATACCTATACTCCTTAATGTATTTCACAATATAGAAGCAGAAGAGTCATTGCCAAATTCCTTTTATGAAGCTACAGTCACTCCGATACCAAAACCACACAAAGACTCAACCAAGAAAGAGAATTACAGGCCAATCTCACTCATGAACATCGACGCAAAAATCCTCAACAAAATACTGGCAAACCGAATCCAAGAACACATTAGAAAAATTATCCATTATGATCAAGTAGGCTTTATCCCAGAGATGCAGGGCTGGTTCAACATACGAAAATCTATTAATGTAATCCACCATATAAATAAACTGAAAGAAAAAAACCATATGATCATTTCATTAGATGCTGAAAAAGCTTTTGACAAAATTCAACATCCCTTTATGATAAAAGTCTTGGAGAGATTAGGGATACAAGGGTCATACCTAAATATAATAAAAGCTATTTACAGCAATCCGACAGCTAACATCAAACTAAACGGAGAGAAACGCAAAGCCATCCCACTAAATTCAGGAACACGACAAGGCTGTCCACTCTCTCCATACCTCTTCAATATAGTGCTTGAAGTTTTAGCAATAGCAATAAGACAACATAAGGGGATCAAGGGGATTCGAATTGGAAAGGAAGAAGTTAAACTTTCATTATTTGCGAATGTACACATTTAAAACAATTCAAATGCGATCTTCAAACCCTCCAAGTCTCTCCAAACTAAACTAATTGTCCTCTCTTTGTTTCGTAAAAGTGTCTGACATGGATAAAATCATACGTAAACACAATTACTGACAATGGTTTAGGTCAGTTTTTAAAGCATAATCTCCTCATTTTCACATAACTGTGTAAAGGCAAAGTTCTTAATACTTAAAACCAAACATAATCTTTAAAATGAGACTTATCCTAAATTTAAGTCCCTACCAATGTAAAATGAAAACAGAATTAAAACAGGCCATAAAATGAAAAATCAAAATACTGAGCAAAACAAACAAACAAAAATACTGAGCACAGTTTTCCTTAAGTAGAATTTTATGGAAGTATTTTCCCCCTGAAAAGTGGTGATTCATAGCCGGGCGGTGGTGGCGCACGCCTTTTAATCCCAGCACTCAGGAGGCAGAGGCAGGCGGATCTCTGTGAGTTCGAGGCCAGCCTGGTCTACAAGAGCTAGTTCCAGGACAGGCACCAAAAACTACAGAGAAACCCTGTCTTGAAAAAAAAAGTGGTGATTCATGATTAATATGGTGAATTCTAATAGTCAGGAAGTCCTCTTCCTTGTCTGTACTGGATAATAGTTTTATTAAAAAATATTTAAGCATAATTATAGCCAAGTGTTCAATGATTAAATAGCTCACTAAACAAATGTATATATTTGCTACCAGAATTAACAACTTAAAGATTTTTGCTATGATGTTTATCCTTTAACAAATCACAATAAATTTGCATGTGTTAACCTAATTTCTAAATAGTCAAATCATCACAACTCACTATTAACATTAATATGTACTGTCAACACCATTCAAGAGAGAATTATAAGCCCATATTTGGTTCATTCAATTAATATTTAAAACAGCATTATAAAGTAAATTACTAGATGTAAAAAAAATATTCTATTTGTGCTTTAGTTGCAAATGCTATTTCATTAAGGTAGAAATTAGCCTTTCAACATACATTTATGTATTTAAATTTCTTAAGTGTTGGAATTTACAAAAGAGGGCTCTGATTAAATACTACTTTCATCTATGAAAATTTTGATCATGACAAAGATTTCCAAGATAAATTAACCTATAAAATTCCATTAAAAGCACAATCAGATATTCACCTGCTTTATCTTTGAAAAATGATATGTAATACATTGTAGATATAATTAAGGTCAACTACTTCAGTAACTTTTTTCCAAAATGATTACTTACGTTCAATTAATTTTTGAATGACTTCATGCCTCTGCTCTTGTTTACGATTATAGCGTAGAAAAACACATAGAGTTCGTGCAGCTGCTCTTTGGACAGGTAAGACATTCTTAAAGAAATAAAATAGGAAAGACAATTACACTACCCTAAGATACGTCCTCAACTAGTCCCCACCAAATCAATTAGTTATTGGCTAAATGAAAAGTGTTCACTATCTTTCAGACTCTGGGCTCACACCCTTCTGGGAGATCTCTGTTACCTAAGGCTAATGTCACTCAGGGAAATAAAATGTCCTATCACAAGCTAATTCAGTTGCAGAGTCACATCCAAATTACCCATGTTTAACTATCATTTCCCTGCCAGCTCATCTTAAATGACATGTTCCTCAGCCACCAGTCCTTTTGGTCAACAGATTATTATTTCTACACATGCAACAAACATTTCCAGGAGTATGCCATGTGCCAATTACATAACCCAAACCGTGCCACTTCTAAAGCAGAAATTTAGAGAGCCCATGTTCAAGTACATTGCTGAAGAATTTGGGTGATGGTATCTTATCTACGGCTGGAGACTAAATATCTAAGCCCAGGAGGTGCAATGCTATTCACTGTTCAGGGCTAAGGAAGCTCAATTTCCGATGCCTACACAAAAGCTGTAACATGTGTCAGTGTGGAGGTAAAGGTTCCAAAACACTCCACAAGGGTGTTAATATTAGAGAGTGCCACCAGACAGAGCAAAAGGACCCAGCCAGCTGACAGGTAGCATCACCAGTTGGTGTGGGACAATTCTGTAGTCGGTCAATTATGTTTTAAATACACTGATTGGCCAGTAGCCAGGAAGTATAGGTGGGACAACCAGACAGGAAGTTGAAGCAGGGCAATGAGAACAGGAGTGTTCTGGGAAGAAGGAAGTTCTTCCCACAGTCCTGTCCACACACCGAAGAAGCAGGATGTGACCTGCCCCGATGAAAAAGGTACTGAGTCATGTGGCTAACATAGATAAGAATAATGGGTTAATATAAGTTATGAGTTAATAAGAAGCCTAAGCTAATGGGCCAATCAGTTTATCATTAGTGTAGACTCTCTGTGTGATCTTCTTTGGAACCTAAAGACTGTGGGAACTGGGCAGGACAGAAACCCCAACTAGCAGGACTCCATGTTATAACCAGTATTCCAAACTCTCTGTCCTTAAGATTTTTATTACACCACTGTACAGAACCTTGATTCTAAATGAATTCAACCAGTAAACTTTACTGGAAATTGGAGGGAAAAATCCAATACCTTTAAGAAAAATCTGTAACCCAAGTATACTGTTTCCGTTGTAAATTCATGTTCACCATCCTGACATACTTATCAATATTATAATATTTCTTCACCTAACACCCAGACTACTATATAGTGGTAATCTCTGACAGGTAACCACAGCTGTGTAGTGTAGAGTCAGTGCTGATTGTGCCCTTTTCCATCTACACAAGTGTCCGTTATACTGGACACTATGCTATGTGATATTGTTAACTGTTGGATACAAAAGGACAGTATTTGCTGTGGTTTAGAACTGAAAATTTAAGAACTGCACATAAGCAGAAATATAATAGGGCTTAAATGGATTTCAGACAGTGAACTAAATAAAAGCCTGTTCCTCTCTTCTTTCATTTGGTTTAATATGACAAACTTTCAAATCCATATATTCAAGACATATGAAAATATGCTCAGTTTATGCTTCATGTAATATATCTTATAATGTAAGGCAAATATTCATTTTGGGACAGAAATCAATGATAAGAACAGCTTCCATAAATTGTCATGGTATCTGTGTGCCCTTACACATATTCACATGCACACACAGTAAATATAAAAGTTGTAGAAGTTATTCTTAACAAATCATTTTTTAAGATTATTATATCTATAGCACAACCTTCAATTCCTCAGATTTCCATTGCTATGTGTGATGAACTTGTTAGGTGGTAGGTAATATACTGTGCTTCTTATTTTTTTAAGTTGGTAATATCAGTAATATTTTTCTCCTTTCTAAATCTTTGAAACTAAAACTGATTTAGAATTTTGTAGATGATTCTTGGATTCCTCATTTCCCTTTTATGAAATAAAAAGTTAAGATACTTCAGTTCAGATTGTAAAGTAGAAACATACGTAAGCTTTTGTTTGTTTGTTTTTTGCCCTGTTACAGGAGATTGAGCCTATGACCTTATGCACGATTCAAATGCCCTGTTGTTAAGCTACATCCCCAGAAGTTGCAGATCTTTCAAAAATAAAAAAATAAAAACAACTTTCAAAACTGTTTTTAGGATGCCATCGTGCCTGCACAGTGGATTACAGGCTAAACATCCTTCCTGGAAGTGTTGTAAAAGGTGGACAATGAGGTTCTCACATAGCTGTTTTCAAGTTGTTACTACCTTCACTTGAATGGGCTATCTACACTAAGGCATCCATACTTTCAGTGCAACTGTACTTAGGCCCTATAAAAGACACACTAACAGGGACTGCTGGGGAGTTTTGAGAATAAAGGCCTGGCAGATGTGAGATGCTGACATTGTGGGTACATTCAGAAGAAAGAGCAAAGCAGAGGTTCTTCTGCAGTGACATTACTGAGTCCTGTCAACCTTTCGCTCCAGAAGTACTGTTAACAAGTCTAAGGTACACCCTGAGTTCAGTCCCCATCACCACATAAACTAAGTATGGTGCCACACACTTATGGCCAGCATTTGAGAGATAGAGGCAGGAGGATAAATGTCATCTTCATTTATGTAATAAATTTGAGGACAGATTGGGCTACCATGCACTGCTTCTGAAAACAACACAAAAGAGTGAGGTGAGTCTAACCACACTCCTCTGGTAGTGGACAAAGAGTATGTGTAAATGGAGTTCTGTTCATACCTCCCTGCAGCTAATGGTGGAAGAGCAAAGAGTATATCAGAGAAGCAGAGGAGACTTGACTCCCCTCCTCAGGGACCTGTGGAGATGCTGCCCTTCCAAGCTGATAGGAAATAAGGTTCATATATCTTGAACAGGTAAAGAATTTGGTAATGACAAAATTATCCCCAAGTTCAAAACCATCAGGAGAAATTCAGAGCTCACATTTGTCATCATGATGGTGAACATTCTTTGTAAGAAACGGTAATAAATCTGGTCGCTTGATATGATGTGAGGCAGACAGGCATATTTCTGCAGCAGCTTCTCATGGGTCCTCCACTTCAGAGAGGATGCAGCTCGCTGCTCAGCAGCCGTGAGTGCAGGAATCAAATCAGGCAGAGAAGACAACTGGAAAGCAATAGAAGGGTGAGGGTGACTAAATTCAAAACTGCAGCCTACAATGTAAACATACAGAAGCCATCTCAGAAGTCACTGGGAGGTAGTTACCAGACAGAAACAAATATTTTAAAAATTCTTCAGTAAAATTTATGACACCAGGAAATGAAATCTCTAGAGCATGGCTTGTTATTCTCCCTTGGTTGTTTACCAAGGCCACTATACTAACTAGTGCAAAAACCCTTACTCTGGGCAGGTTTTTTCCTTCTAAATTCCTACCCTTTTTCCCACTTGTTATGCTTATAATAAACATTAATACTGAAAATATGAATATAAATTCCAAGGGCAATAATAAGAATTGTGTGGTAGGTGGAACCACTACATAGTAGCTGCAGAGGGCAGTTTATGCTGGCAGCTTTCACAGGCATAGACATAGCTGTGCAGCAAGTGCTATTTAATTTAGTCGCTAATTTATTGTAAATAACCAGTAAGCTTAATGTTTTTGAAAAGGGCCTTTCTTTAGAAGTTTTCAAACACTCTACCCGCTTCAGTGTGTCACCCATATAGCAGAAGCACAGGAAATAGCCTGAGGGGAAAGGAGTTGGTAACTTGGAAGATTTTGTTCTTACATTGTTTCACCATCTGTGGAAATGCAGGTGTGTGGGTGCCTATGGCTTTTGGGCCTTCAAATTCCTTAATAACAGGATAAAAACTGAGAGCTTGAGACATTTCAAAATAATTGTGTCTCACAGTAATGCTTCCAAATATGGCTCAGAGCTATGAAAGTAACCTGTGCTTCCTTTCTACAGCATAACACTCACACAAACTCGCTTATATACATTTATTTTTATATTTTAATTATGTGCATGTGTGTGGTGATGGGGGATGGTACACTTGAATGCAGTGCCAAAGGAGGCTGTAAGAGGGCATTAGATTCCTCTGGAAACAGGACTTAGTTACCTGTGACCATCAGGTGCCCAATAAGGATGCTGGCATGGAAGCCAGGCCTTTACAAGAGCAGTGGAGCTCTTAGCTGCTAAACCATCTCTCTAGACCCCTTGTGTAAATTTTAAAGCCAGCTTTGAATGCACTACCTGCCATTCCTGGGTCCTGACAAATGCACAGAAGGCTGACACTGGCCAGCACAACAGCAAGTACTATTTTGATGCTTCTCACACATTCACCGTTTCCTCGCAGTCACCCTGTACAATAAGAACACAGACTTGTATCTTTTCTGAAAAATGAGATTTACCTTATTTTCTTGAATACTGCTTTCTCCACCAATAGACATAAGTTCCAAGATTTCCGGGAGGTGATTTATAAGAGCATCTAGTACCTTAAAGAGATATTGATTACGTTTATAATGGTTATTGTTATTCCCCAGAAGGCCCAGTTATTATCTGTTTTCTAAATTAGTTAACTCCACACTTCAATTTATATACAGAAATATTTTTGACCAAGCAATATTAGGTATATTTCTATGAAAACAAAATTGTGGCATCTACTTGTCTAAACTGGAGAAGACTAATATCCTCAAAACTATCACATCAGGTGGCACCCTCAAGTATCATGTGATGAGCTAAGTCCTCTCAGGCTAATGGTCATTTTGGTGAATAAAATGTGCCAAACAGCACCAGATGGAAGAATTTCAGTATCTTCATGAGTCTATGTACAAGGTAAATACTCCTGAAACAATACTGAGCAAAAATCCAAAATGTGTTATGATTACAAGTGTGAACAGAAAAAAAGCAACACCTAGTAAGAGAAAAATGTGACAAAATGTCAACAGTGATTTAATTAAAGGTCCTCTCTTGTCTACTTGTTAGCACTTCCTAATCTTCCTTAATAAACAACACACACTTCCATTTTAAAAGCAGATGTCCTGGAAGTTCTAATTTCCAAGACCTTCCCAGTGATGTAGTGACACAAGCACTGATAGAGTCTGGCTCACCACAAAAGAAGTAAACACCAGGGTGGGAACATATATTACCTCCAGCGATTCATCTTGTAATAATGTTATCAGTTCTTTGTGTATTAAATACACGCCAGAATTCAGAAGTTTAGATACCTAAAATACAACAATAAGATCTCTCAGATTTGAGACTATATAAAGTTAAGATACATATTTTAAGCTACATTCTTATTAAACATTCCTCCTAAAAATAAGTTACAACATAAATATAAAGTTAATTTCTAGTAAATTGAGTTTTGCATAGGTCTGTTTCCTAACATGATAGTGTGTACGGCCACAGGGCGAGATGTGCATAAATTGGGAGAGAAAGTGCAAAGGATAAGATTACCAGAGCTGGAACTTCTGCACAGTTCATAATAACCCACAGGTGCCATTACTCACACTTTAAATCTTAGAACAATCAAAGGCATCTCAAAGAATACCTGAGATATATAGGCATACATTTCCACTAAAGCTTCTCAAAGACAGAAACTGGATTGGAGGCCACTGGGGTGTCATAACTCTCAACTGCGAACAGTCGTCCTCAGCCCTGTCAGACTGTCCTCGGTCTGAGAGGATCTGACAGTCACGGTCAGTCTAGATCAGTGCTCTTGGTTTTATTCCTCTAAATAAACTCAGAGTCTGCAAAGGGAGTTCATCTATTTGTACTTTACCTTTTAAAGGTGGAAAAGAATATATACTATAGTGGGCTTGAGTTAGTTTTGTTTACAGGGGTTGGGGATGGGAAGATGCCTGAATAAAGACAGTACTTTAAAATCTGACTTTGGGTTGTTTTTAAGTTGCTAGAAATATTTTCAAACCGGCATTTTCTGAAAAATAAGAATAAAGTTACAATTTAGCAGTTATCAAATTTAGTATTAACACTAGATTAGAAAACTTGTAAATACACTGGGAATTTTCATTATTTAAAGGGCAAAATAAAATAAGCCCTTTATTTTAGGGAACTGAACATTTCTTTTAGCCTACGCACATTATGAAAATATAAAAAGTAGACATCCATAAAATATATAGAACAGCCATCTCCAAAGTGACTACTATTACAGAAATACTGATGTGTGTGTTGTTTTGTCTGCTATGAAATATAACTAAAATCAAAGGTTAAACAAAGTAGATAAGAGAAACTAACATTTGCATAGATATTCTCAGACTCAACTCCCATGCAGTCTTCTGAAGACTGCATGGAAACCACCCTAAAGGAACAAATAACCTGCAGGACCCACCGGAAGCACATTCTGCCTTTTCCTCCTCTAAAAGCAAGCGTTTGTGGGTTAATTTACAGAGCTGTTACAACTGTGTAACATTGTGATTATTTTAAACAATCATATCATTTAAGAGGAATATTTCCTAGACTTTGTACTATGATTTCATCCATACATTTCAGAAAAGTGTAATTTTTACATTTTTATTTCATTGCTTTCATTTTCACATGTGTTTGGGAGTATGCATGTGTGTGTGCATATTCACATGTATGTGAGCACATAAAGTTGATATTGGATATCTTCCTTGATCACTCTCTATTTTATATACTGAAGGTCTCTCACTTAAACCTAGGACTCCAGGTTGGGCTATTTTAGCTAGTTAGCTTGCCTTGGAGATGTCCTGTCTCTGCCCCCTGAGGGCGTGGATCACATGCAGGCTGCCATGCCCACCAAGGTTTACATGGGATCTGAACTAATCCTCACACTCAGGCAAGCACTTTACCCACTGAGCCATCTCCTTAGCCCCAGAAAAGTGCTATTTCAAAGAAGAATACAACTCAACATCAGAAAGAACCTTAAATAACATTTATAATGACGCTATGAATATCCTTCATTCTCTCAGCTAATCTAGTGGTGCTTTGACATGGGATAGAGTGCAAGGAAGATGATGAAACATTCTTATTGGCAGTAAGAATTTACTATACCATTTACAAGGAAAGAAAAGATGTTATATCAATATAAAGAGGCTGTCACATAACTATTTTGAATTCACAAGTTATAGTTTACATATTGTGATGGTTACTACTGACTGTTAATGTGACAGAATCTAGACTTAACACCAGCAGACAAACTTCAGCATACATCTGTGAGGGAATTTTTAAATTGGAGTAGCTTAGGTGGGAAGACCCACAATGTCTTAGTTAGCTTTAGTTGTCAACTTTCTCAACACAGAGTCACCTGGGAAGAGGAAGCTTAGTTGAGGAATTGCCTAGATTAGACCGGGTGATTTCTGTGGAGCACTGTCTTTATTGATGGTGGATATGGGATAGCCCAGGCTGAACTGTGTAAGAAAGCTAGCTGAAAGAGTCATAGAGCAAGCCTGTAAAACAGCATTCTTCCAGAGTTCTGCTTTGAGTTTCTACTTGAGTTCTTGCCCTGACTTCCCTCAATGATGGGCTATGATATGGAAGTGTAAGTCAAATAAACCCTTCTCTCCTACAGGTTGCTTTCGGTCATGTTACTTATTAGAGAAGCAAACTAAGACACACTAACTGTGAGCAGCACCATCTGGTGGCCTGTGACCCTATTCGTATTGGAAAGGAAGAAGTGAGGCTTAATTTGCAGATGATATGATAGTATACATAAGCGACCCCAAAAATTCTACCAAAGAACTCCTACAGCTGATAAACACCTTTAGTAATGTGGCAGGATACAAGATCAACTCCAAAAAATCAGTTGCCTTCCTATATACTAAATAAACAGAGAGGGAAATCAGAGAAGCATCACCTTTCACGATAGCCACAAATAGCATAAAATATCTTGGGGTAACTCTGACCAAGTAAGGGAAAGATCTATTTGACAAGAACTTCAAGTCTTTGAATAAAGAAATTGAAGAGGACACCAGAAAATGGAAGGATCTCCCTTGCTCTTGGATTGGGAGGATCAACATAGTAAAAATGGCAATTCTACCAAAAGCAATCTATAGATTCATCAAACCCCATCAAAATCCCATCAAAATTCTTCACAGATCTGGAGAAGACAATAATCAACTTTATATGGAAAAAAAACCCAGGATAGCCAAAACAATCTTATACAATAGAGGATAGTAGGGAGGCATTACCATCCCTGACTTCAAACTCAGAATACAGAGCCACAGTATTGAAAACTGCTTGGTATTGGCATAAAAACAGAGAAGTCGACCAATGGAATCGAATAGAAGACCCTGACCTTAACCCACAGACCTATGAACACCTGATTTTTGATAAAGGAGCTAAAAGTATACAATGGAAAAAAGAGAGCATCTTCAACAAATTGTGCTGGCAAAACTGGATGTCAATCTGTAGAAGAATGAAAATAGATCCATATCTATCACCATGCACAAAACTCAAGTCCAAGTGGATTAAAGACCTCAATATCAGTCCGAACACACTGAACCTCATAGAAGAGAAAGTGGGAAGTACTCTACAACACATGGGCACAGGAGACTACTTCCTACGTATAACCACAGCAGCACAGACAGTAAGGGCCTCATTGAATAAATGGGACCTCCTGAGACTGAGAAGCTTCTGTAAAGCAAAGGACACTGTCACTAAGACAAAAAGGCAACCCACTGACTGGGAGAAAATCTTCACCAACCCTGCAATTGATAAAGGTCTGATCTCCAAAATATATAAAGAACTCAAGAAACTGTAAAAGGCTAATCAACCCAATTATAAAATGGGGCACTGAGCTGAACAGAGATCTCTCAACAGAAGAAGTTCAAATGGCCAAAAGACACTTAAGGTCATGCTCAACTTCCTTAGCGATCAGGGAAATGCAAATCAAGACAACTTTAAGATACCATCTTAAACCTGTCAGAATGGCTAAAATAAAAAACACCAATGATAGCATTCGCTGGAGAGGTTGTGGAGAAAGGGGTACACTCATCCATTGCTGGTGAGAATGCAAACTTGTGCAACCACTCTGGAAAGCAGTGTGGCAGTTTCTCAGGAAATTCGGGATCAACCTACCCCTGGACCCAGCAATACCACTCTTGGGAATATACCCAAGAGATGCCCTATCATACAACAAAAGTATATGTTCAACTATGTTCATAGCAGCATTGTTTGTAATAGCCAGAACCTGGAAACAACCTAGATGCCCTTCATTGGAAGAATGGATGAAGAAAGTATAGAATATATACATATTAGAGTACTACTCAGCAGTAAAAAACAGTGACTTTTTGAAGTTTGCATACAAATGGATGGAAATAGAAAACACTATCCTGAGTGAGGTAAGCCAGACCCAAAAAGAGGAACATGGGATGTACTCACTCATATTTGGTTTCTAGCCATAAATAAAGGACATTGAGCCTATAATTCGCGATCCTAGAGAAGCTAAATAAGAAGGTGAACCCAAAGAAAAACATAGAGGCATCCTCCTGAATATTAACCTTCATCAGGCGATGAAAGGAGACAGAGGCAGAGACCCACATTGGAACACCGGACTGAAATCTCAAGGTCCAAATCAGGAGCAGAAGGAGCGAGAGCACGAGCAAGGAACTCAGGACCGCGAGGGGTGCACCCACACAGTGAGACAATGGGGATGTTCTATCGGGAACTCACCAAGGCCAGCTGGCCTGGGTCTGAAAAAGCATGGGATAAAACCGGACTTGTTGAACATAGTGGACAATGAGGACTACTGAGAACTCAAGAACAATGGCAATGGGTTTTTGATCCTACTGCACGTACTGGTTCTGGGGGAGCCTAGGCAGTTTGGATGCTCACCTTACTAGACCTGGATGGAGATGGGTGGTTCTTGGACTTCCCATAGGTCAGGGAACCCTGATTGCTCTTTGGGCTGATGAGGGAGGGAGACTAATTTCAACATTAGTTATGCTCACCACAAAAGTTTGTTTTACTTTTGTACATAATTTATGGAATGTGCTAAAAGCTATGCTCATTATATTTCATTTATGGTAAAAATGTTAACAATTTGTTACTCAAATTTCCATTTACCCTAAGACTACTTAAACATAAAGGGCAAAGTACAAAAAGTACAAAGCATATAAAATTATAGCTATTGTGTCTGCCCTAAACTAAGGATTCAGTTTAAATATGTTGAAAAATAGGTTAATGAGTAAATGAATATAATGTATTTATGTAAATGGATTTTACACTAAAAAGAGAAGAGAATTATGGGAATTCAAAAATAAGACTTAAAACTATAGCATGAAAGAGCTATGGGATCTCTATCTTATAACAAGTCTGTAAATACAGCATACAGAATATTAAAACAGCATCTAATATATACAGACAGAATCAACATGTGTACCATGGAATTCATTCTCAGACTTACTTCATAAAAGCAAATAGCAATAGTGTATCTGACTGGTACTTCAGGGTCATGACAAAGGCAGAAGAATGTAGAATAGAGTTCCATGTGGAAGTTTTTAGGATCAACAAAAACAATCATGGCCTAGTGGAGGTGGAAGGAAATGAATGGGAAGGAGAGAAAAACATGCATCAATACCTAATATAATCATTTCGCTAAAACTAAAATCATATCCTATTAAGTATATTTAATAAAATTTTGTTTATAAACCCAAATGCATGCACATAATATACAAAAATATAAATTCTGCAAATATTTGCTTCATATTTCCTATATATTTAGATACAATGCTAAACAGCAGGTGTCAAGCATGTAAATATTTTAATGGATTCTGCTCTTATATTCTAATGTCATAATCGTCACAGCCCGTAAATACAAACAAGCATTTTGTTACCGGAAAGTTGTAAGCACAGTTCTTCCGTACTGAAGTGTATTTCTTCTCCTGCTCGATAATTTGGGATGGAATCTGGTTTTCACTGTGACCATTTTCTTGTTGCAAACCCAATGTACAAAGTTTCTTATAAAATTCCAAAAATCTCAAGTGCTGATCTGGAGTGAAAATTCCTAAAACATTAAATGTGAAACCTGTGTCCAACATTTCAATTGCAAACAAAAATTTAAAAAAAAAGAAACTCAAAGTGAATAAAAACATGTTTAGAACAAAATATTTAAGCCAAATGTTTACAGATGGTTCATAATTATAGCAATGAGCAAGGAACTACTCTGAAGAAAGCTAGTTCTAGGACAGGCTCCAAAGCTCCAGAGAAACACAGTCTCGAAAAAACAACAAAAAAAAGGTTTTTAAAATTATTTTCACTTCACACCAACAGTTAACATACCTGACCTTCTATTAGCACACTCCAACTTAAACATGCAACATGACCAGAAATTCCAAGAGCTATGCTTATTTGACTCTTTCAAATAAGGTTCCATTCGTGAAAATGCCATTTCTAAGTGTGTTCTAAAGACTTCACATACTTAGGAACAAGTGCTATGAGTAAAGAGCTAAACGAAAGGAGTAGGAGCTAAAGAGAAAAACAACTAGTTTTGCAACATACCATAGAGTCCATGGCAGAGCTTTCCTAAATGAAAAGATAAAGAAGTAAGAATGGATTCATCTGCTTTAAAAGATTTTTCACAGAATGATTTCACTAAAGGAAGTATGGTTTGACTTCTGTCATCTGAAAGACAAAACAGAATAACATATAGTTATAGTATATAGTTTAGAGCTAGTTGCTCACATTACCACGTGGAAACTAATACACATATCCCCTCCAGAAGAAAAATGTCCACGTTAGACTAACAGGGATAGAAATGTCTGATAACTGTGACAGGAAGAGGACTAGAGACAAGGAGTAAGATCACCATAAACATTAAGTTTGGGCTTCAAAGGAGCCACGCAAGAATAAAGATAGAAAAATCACAAACATAATAATAAGGTGCCTGAGGTCTTGAATCTGAATAACCGGAAGAGTTCTAACATTTTCAATTTAAGTAGACAGACAGCAGGCCCAGGAAACTTCTAATTCTCTCTTTCATTCATTCCATGCCATGTTTTTTTTTTATCAAAGTCAGTTTGAAATGTAACATGTCTGCCTGCTTAATTTTATGTTTTTAGTTTTTAGATGGCTCTTTAGAGGTTGACCAATTCTTTAAATATATCTATCTAGGTCATATGCTTCTGATAGATTGGAAATATTTAAGTCTTCCTTCCAGGTACTCTTGAAAACCCTCAAAATTTGATTAAGCTATTAGACATGCACCAGTACTTAGAGGTAAGAAGCTCTAATGGGCAGAAATGTTACTGTTATTATGATTGATATTATATCATAATTCAGGGCCTTCAGTTGTTACCAGATGAAATCCATACAGTATTGCCAGCTTAACAATACAAGCAAAATATTAAGGGGGAGAAGTTTCATTAGGTGAAGAATAATAAATGGTCTTATAACTTGAAGAACAAATCAACAAAGAAACTAAACACACAAAATAATGAGACAATGTGGTCACCATTTTAAAGGCAAAGGCAGGGATCTGAAAGCAGGTTTCATAGATGATCTAGTTTGTGTAGGCTATTTATTCCAACCACTCATCTCTGTCCCCATAGCACCAAAATGGCCACACATAATATATACACAAGTGAACATAGCTAACTTCCAACAAACTTTAGCTAAACACATAGGGTTTAAACACAGAAGTAACCTTCCAAGCTCTCATATAAGTAACTTGAAAAGATAAAAGAGAGGAAAATGTATTTGAACTAGACACTACAAGAAGCCTAAAAGTTGTATAGGACAAAAATAGAGGAGAGGGGGGAAAAGAAACTTAGAGGCAACATCAGAGAGAGGAAAGTGGACATAGCGAGAGATGTGCTGGAGTTGGAGCACCAGGAGGAAGAACAGGAGGAAATAAAGTGAAGTCTGCAAAATCAAAGCCCAGGGCAGTGAAGAAGGAAAAAAAAATCAATGCCAACATTTCCTTTGAGTCTGCATTCTGGGGTTGCCACCAGTATTAAAGGCAAAAAAAAAATGCATCCAATTATGTGCAGTTTTGCTCCTGTGATTTATCATATTACCTCAACGATCATTCTGAAATATTTACACAAAATTATTGTCTATACCGCAATAATCTCCAGGGGCCCTCCCAGTTCAGACAAAATGTTGATAGTCCCAGTCAACCCAGTCCTACAATTACACAACTGATTTTCACACCTCAGTCTTGACATTTAGCCCTCCAAGTGTTACCGTGTCATGATGAACTACTTGTCCAGAGCTAGGCACCAGTCTAGGTCTAGGTATACACTTGGTAGAGCAGCTAGCTGTTCTGTGGCTTGGTTTGCATAAGAACAAGAAACACCTTCTTACACATCCCCACAGAATTATCTACTCCAAATTTCTCCTCCCATGACCAGATTTCTGGCATTAAAATATTATTAAGAAATAATTCATTTAGGCATATTATGATCATGTTATAGTCATTTAGACATATTACAGGATTTGACATCAGTTAGTTAAGGAAGTTAAGGGCTACTTCTCAGGACAAATTCTTCAACTTCTACATTGTCAGTTACGTTTAGAAGACAGCAATGAGAAGTATGAGACCTACAGCAGCACTAGATACCGTGAGGGTAAGAGTAGAAGCATGGATGACATCAAAAAGGAAAAAAATCCTAGAACTCTAAGCTAAACAAAACAATCTGAATTCGTCTCTGTTCCTTATTAGTAATATAAAACATGGAAAATAGTCTTTCAGAAATAAAGATACCTGCACATGCAGATTTACCTGTATCAAACATGTCAAGCATGTTAACCAAGGTTTCAAAAGCAGCAAGTCGCACACTGCCACTCTCGTCCCTAGAGAGTTCTATTAATTCGGGGAGCACCACACTCTTTGTCAATTCTGTCCTGCACAATAAGCAGTAGAAGAAAGTAAGTCAGACCAACAAACCTGCAGCAAGAGTCCAATGAAACAAGTGATTAGCACAGTTAGTCCCGGTGCCCAAGTGTGCCATCTGGTTGGGAAAGCAGCCAAGGGTGTAATACAGGGTAGATGCAGGAGGAGTTATGGAGGACTGTCAAGGAATATAATTAAAATAAAATATATCATGTGAAACTCTCTGAAACTGTTAGCAAGCCTCCAGCCAAATGCCTTCTTTTCTTTCATAAGTTGTCTTGTCACAGTGTCATTTCATAGCAATAGAACCATAACTAAGAAACTTGGCCTTCCCATTTTTTAAACAGTAGAAAAATGTTAGGTGGTTTAAAAAAAGCAAATAAGTACATATTTCTCATCTTTATTAAGTGAAGCAGTACATTGTCCAATCAAATTCTGATTCTGGCTCATAAGCATAGGTAAAACCTAAACCTATGTTAATTATAAACCTGAGTTAATTATAGTCCACAGTAATTCAACATGAATAATGTAATTTCAAAATACCTATCAGAAAAATAGTTTTGAGATCAAAACAAAAGAACTGATTAGCAGACATAACACAAAGTACATGACTATGCTGAGTCTGTTAGCAACATCCTAAAGCTTTACAAAACCATCACTGCTATAGACTCACTGTCCTTATCAGTGAAAAACAATAGCAGATGAAATCATCAATGCAGTATCTACTAAAAATAAGACACCAGAGTTTCACCAATGACTTTAGAATCCTTAAAGCAAAAATCACTTCCCAAGATAGTTTTTAGATGTTTCCTTTAATACTACACGTGTACCCTGACCTGGGAGCTGTTTTTAAGCAGAGGGTGAACTGCCTGTCCTATGCTTCTACTTCCTCAACAGTATGTGGTTCTTCTTGTGCCCAAAGGAAAAGAAGAACCACAAATCCAGAAGCACACAAAGCTTGGAATTGCACAGGGACATACTTCAATGACAGCAAACCCACCTAAAACACTTAAAATATGGTCATCTCAAAGAAATGCTCAACATATTCCAGATATTGTTCCTGCTAGGATATGGTCCCTTGTTGGACTTGGTTACTGAATAACCATGGTGAGAAAGAAAGAAACCGACATTAATTGAATATATACTGCTATGTTAAACACATCCCCTGTTATCTCTTTTACAGTAGACTCATTAGGAGAGGCCTGCAATTGAAGAAAGCACATAAAAATGAATAATGCACTTTCATGGAATGCATGAGCAGGATATGCTTGCCACACAATCTGGATCTAAGACTGTGTGGAATAAGGACTTGGAAGTACACTTACCCAATGCCCTGAGCTATATTTTCTAACTGCCGACACATACAAGATCGAACTTCATATTCCACATCTTGACAGAGTGATTTTACCAGGGGAAGTATTTCTCTTTTAATGCTGAGAAAGACAGATTTAAAAAACATGTAAATGAATGAACATTTTAGACTAATTTTCAATGATTTTCAAAATTTCAAATTACCTATAATGAGAGAGTTTTTAGATTTGTAAGTTTAATATGGAGTGTCTGTAGAAATCAGGAAGCTAGAACAGGCAAATAAGATGGGGGAGGAAGTGGCCTTGAGGGAAGGCTAGTAGAGTTCATATGACATGAAAATAGAAAAAGAGGAATATTGGGAATTAAAGGTTTAAGCAGGGATTGAGGCGGGAGAATGGAGGGATAAATAAGGTGGAAGGTGGGTGTGGTGGTATGAATAAGAATGACCCCCCATAGGCCCATATATTTGAATGCTTAGTCATCAGGAAGTGGCACTACTTGAAAAGAATTAGGAGGTGCGACCTTGTTAGAGGAAGTATGTCACTGGGGGATGTGCTTTGTAGTTTCAAAATCTCAAACCAGGCCCAGTGTGTCTCTTTCATCCTGCTGCCTACAGATCTGGGTGTAGAAGGCTCAGCTACTTCTCCAGCACCATGTCTTCCTGCTTGCTGCCATGCTTCCTGCCATAATGATAATAGACTAAACCTTTGAAATTGTCCAATTAAATGCTTTCTTGCATAAGAGTTGCCATGGTCCTGGCATCTCTTCACAGCAACAGAACACTGACCTAAGACAGTTGGTTAACCAAAACTAAGGGTATATGGAAAAGCTTTAACGAAAATCACTGCTTTGTCAGATAATTTTATTTTATTTTATTTTTGTTTTTGTTTTTCAAGACAGGGTGTCTCTGTAGCTTTGGAGCCTGTCCTGGAACTAGCCCTTGTAGACCAGGCTGGCCTCGAACTCACAGAGATCCGCCTGCCTCTGCCTCCTGAGTGCTGGGATTAAAGGCATGCGCCACCATTGCCCAGCTTGTCACGTAATTTTTAAGGTACAATGTTTTATAAAGGAGTTTGAAAGGCAGTGTTCTGTATGGGTATACAATACTTCTTTCTACAGAAGACATGGGTTATTAAATGATGATCTTGGTGCTAGAAGTGGGATAGCTCCATATTAGTGACATTGTTCTTGGCTTCCCATGTAATAATATATTAAGACCCTAATACTCAAGATACAACATATTTTAGTTGTAGGACATAGAGAAATCAAGCCACAACTGACATAAAAACTTCTACTCTGCTGGCTAGATTTCATGGTGTCAGAAGGTACAATGCAGGTGACCAATGGAGAATAGAATACCTAGTGGTTGATCTTGATACTGACCCATGAGACAAGATGTGACTACTGATACAGAAGTGGCAAGACTGTTGTAGTCGTAATGAACTACTTTCTGATTGGGTTTTAATTCTGTTCCATGGGAAGGGATCCATGCCTATACTGTAAATCTGGTCAAAAGTCACAGCTAAGGAGGGTATAGGCCTTAGGTGGAAGCATACTACAGCTGTTCTTCTAAATGAATAGTTTCAAACTGCCTCATAAGTATTTATATTTATACCCATATATTAGTGCTGCTCTCAATTAAAAATGATGTTTCTTTTGGCGGTAGGAGAAGTAAGCGCAGAGATACACATCTAGTCAAAGGGCTGAGAGTAAGTAGTGATCATTGAGTGTTCAACCCTAAACTTGACAGCCCTACAAGAACCAGGGAATGCTGAGAAAGAATATAAGAAACAGAGATGAAAAGACATGCTCTGAAAGTCTGTCTTCTTGATATGGCATGACTGTTGTAGTCGTGAATTTACAGCAGCTGTGGTTACCGGCATATGAACAAGCCAGACGATATTCTAGCATGGATGGGAAAGGGACACATGAGGTTCTACCTATTGCTGAGGAGCTACTGGCAACTAATGGCTATAGAAGGATTGCTTTTCTCCAGGGTGGGGAGATAGGTTGCCCTACATCCATGTGCATTCAGGTAGCACTGATTGATAAGATTATTTTTTAAAAAGAAGACATGAAAGTGGGAAGGGAAGTATCTAGAGGAGCTTAATGGGAGTAAGGGGCATTTGGATTAGATATGTTTTATATATCTATATGAATGTATGTATGTATGTATACAAATGTATATATGTATATATATGACATTGTTAAAGAATATTAAAACATTCTTTAAAATCATAACTGCCTTATTAACCATATACTTTAACATTGTGTTTAGCAGTTTATAATGCATTATTTTGTTTTGTTTTTTTTGTTTTTCGAGACAGGTTTTCTTTGTAGCTTTGGAGCCTAACCTGGAACTAGCTCTTGTATACCAGGCTGGCCTTGAACTCATAGAGATGCCTCCCGAGTGCTGAAATTAAAGGCGTGTGCCACCACTGCCTGGTTATAATGCATTTTTACATAAATTCTTAACTTTGAACACTATCATCAGTTACTTGTATCTGTCTTAGCAGTTAAATGTCAATAGCTAATTCAAAAGTCTTTAGCAATGTAATGTCTGATTCTGGCAATTGTCAGTCAAAATATACTTCTGTTTTGATTGATGTTCATGAGAATGTTATACTTCACAACACATCAAGTGTGAACATGTGTCATTTGTTATCGAGGTAGAGAGCAGCATGTACACTGTAGGCAGGCTCTGATATGAAATTATTCAAAATAAGGGATTCATAATAGTGATGTAAGAAACCCTATCTTGGCCGGGTGGTGGTGGCGCACGCCTTTAATCCCAGCACTCGCAGAGGCAGAGGCAGATGGATCTCTGTGAGTTCAAGACCAGCCTGGTTTACAAGAACTAGTTCCAGGACAGCTCCAAAGCCACAGAGAAACCCTGTCTCGAAAAAAAAAAAAAAAAAAAAGAAACCCTATCTTTATGTCAGGTTTACCTGACATGATTTTGGAAGTTCCAAGATAATGCTATTTTAGCTTCACAAGAAAACATGGTATAGGACAGAGAAGACTTGATCAGAAAATCCATGAAACTGAGAAGAAATGCTTCCAACAAGTAGATTTCTGTCTGAGAAGCGTAGCTAGAGTGGTTAAGTCTGTGAATAATGTGGAATAATACAAAAGTAACCATTGTTGACACAGTCATTACATATTTAAATAAACTCATTTGATAAAAAAGACAAAATTACATATACTTACTTACCTATGGGCATCAAATTTGTTGGTTAGTTTTCCTAAAATTTTACAGCTAACTAAACGTGACTGGACAGTTTGGGAAAGTTGTGCCTTGGAAACAAGTGGATTCAGAATCTGAAAGGAAACAAGTTAGAGTAGGAAGTCGTCAACTTCTTCAAAGAACATTTTCATGTTTGAACACTTTTAACGAACAATCATTATAACTGAGATACACAGCCATTCTTGACCTAGAGCAGTTTCTTTGTCTTCTTGACTAAGGTAAGATGTCAAACTATGGAATTAAAACCAATTAGAAAACACTGAAGTAAAGTTCATGGCAAATGCTGCAGTGATCTGAGTGCATACAAAGACAATTTAAAAAAACACATTTTTAACAGAGAAAAGCAAATTAATTACCAGATACTCTGAATTTTATTTCAGAAGAAGTTTTATATTTATCCTAAAGAATACAGAAAAATCTATTTTGAAATTCTGTTACATAATGACCAAAGTCTTGTGCTATATTATGCACATACTATGCACTCAAACATTCAATAGCATGACACACTGTAAAGAATTATGAATAGTGGTCTACTATCCTAGCACCAACTCTTCAATTTTTAACCTTGCTATTTCTCATCACAAGGAATCTATCAAAGAGCACATGCTAAAAATGCTGAGCACTCTTGAGTAGCAAAGGCCTCATTTACATTTACACTGTTCTTCAAAAACACAAAGAAAGCATCTCTGCACTGTGCTCAGCAGTTCAATATGTGTATGTCTAAATACTTGCCATCAGGTACAGATTCTTTTAACTGGCTAAAACATGTCATCTTAAAGAGTATTCTGATGTTGTGATAGAATAACAAACTATAATGACAAAAGACACAATAAAGCCGGGTGGTGGTGGCTCACGCCTTTAATCCCAGCACTCAGGAGGCAGAGGCAGGCGGATCTCTGTGAGTTCGAGACCAGCCTGGTCTACAAGAGCTAGTTCCAGGACAGGCTCCAAAACCATAGAGAAACGCTGTCTCAAAAAACCAAAAAAAAAAAAAAGACAATAAAATCAGTTGGTGGAAGATATTTTAATGAATAACATTTTACCATGGTATGTTTGCAAAGAAATATATACAGGGATTATAGTCAAGATTGCTTGAGGACATGTGCTGTCTATTTTTTCTAGTCTGTCACCTTAATTTATAATAAAACCTTTCAAGATGGACAGAATGAACCATACTGGAAATTTAAAGGCAATAATTCTTATACAAATATGTACAAACATAACAAAAGATGGCAGAGAGATGGTATATGTAAATAGTGCTAAAGGATATGATCAGATAATTTCTAAAGAATAAGTACAACTAAAACAATAAAAAAGATACAGAAGCTCTCTAGCTGGGCAGTGGTGGCGTACCCTTATAATTCCAGCACTGAGGAGGCAGAGGCAGGAGGATCTCTGTGAATAGAGGTTGGCCTGGTCTACAAAGTGAGTTCCAGTCCAGCCAAAACTGTTACAGAGAAACCCGTCTCATAAAAGAAAAAAATACAACTAATTTGATATAATATATGAAAAAGCAGCAGACAGTATAATTTAAATTTTCCAATTAAAATGCAGGTGTGCCTTTAGCCTATCAAATTAAATTGGAACACCATTTTTGTTAATTGATTTCGAGGCACGGTCTCAAGTAACCCAGGCTGACCTTGAATTCACAATGCAGCCAAGAAGGACCTTGAACTCCTCATCTTCCTATCTTCACCTTGTGAGCACCAGGATTATAGGCATATGACCCTGTGTCTGGTTCACATGCATGTGGTCATAGGCATATGAACTGGGGATCAAATCTGGGCTTTAGTGCACACTAGGTAAGCACTCTACCAACTAAGCCACATCCCCAGTGGAATACTATTTCAATAAAAACTCAGGTGACTACATTTCACATATTTAGTAGAGTTTAAGAATCTTAATATCCTCTCACCAGGTGACACTTGTGTGGATGCTACAGTTAAAGAGCTACCTAAAGCTCTACCGAGATGCCTTATTTCAATAGCAAAACTTAAGGCTCAAAATAGCTTCCAGCATGTAACAAAATAATTTGCAATTATGCACAGAAAATAAGGCTCTGTGAAAAGTGACCACACCCAGATTCAATACGATTACTGACATGACAAGCAGTGACCACAGAGGGGAAAATCTGAAGGATAGCTATCAAAAACTTACAAGCAACTAACTACAGAAGTATACATTATTTTTCTTTCTTACATTTTCCAAATTACTTAAATTTTCTGCAATGAGTATTGTTGCTTTCACAATGGAAAATAATCTTATTACTAAAAAATCATAAAGTTGACTAGTTACAAAAAGAAAAAACACAGTATTACCTCATGCCTCAGGGTTTCTTTTGGTAATAATTCTATTGCAGAGAGAAGTGTTTCCAGCCATGCATTGCTGACACCTAATGGGCACAGACATGACATGCCAGGTTAAAACATCTCAGGTGCAAATGCACTTTCAACTCATCCATTAACAGCTGCAATAACGTTGTATTACAAAAGACGAGTAATAACTGTTATTACTAAGACATTTTCCACAACTTTTGTCTTGACTAACTTTAGAAAATTTAAAAAACTGAAAAATAATTTGATGGAGATAATTCTAACTCAAGGTATTCTGTTCTCACTGTATGATAACTCCATGAACATAAATGTAAAGGAAAACATCTAAGGAAAGAAGACCCCCGAGAACGCTCTAGTGTGTTCTCTCTCTCCCAGGGCATTTCTTAGAGGGGCCCCAGCTATTTTCATCAGTCCCATAGATGGCAAATGAACCACAGCCATTTGCCATAAACAAGAGTGTAATTAAGTACACGTGGACCTGACCTGTGTCCCTGTGCTCCAGGTTCAGGAGAATGATTTGCAGGAAGGAGTGTGCATAGGTGTGGACTGACATTGATTCTTCCTGTAGAATGGTCAGAAATGACACTGCAGCCGTTAGCTGCATTTCCACGCTTGCAACATGCAGAACTTCCTGTATGATCAGAAAGAATTAGCTATTTACAGAGATGAGAGGTCAGAAGGGTAATGTTTAAAAGAGCCAAGGTTGCAGAAAGCCAACAGTCATACTCCACAAATCACTAAATATAACTTTTAGGGATATGCACCATTATTACTTAAGAGGACCGTATTAATCTGTCCCTAATATTTAATTCATTTGATGATAAATTTCTTAAGAAATCTTAAATGTTTTAAGAATTTATATAATATAATGCTATTTTGCTTTACTGGATGAAAATGATAAAGCACCTGTAAACCTTTCAAGAACAGAGAAGGTGGCTTTGATGGATTTGAACTTTTACACTGCTAATGGCAATATGCAAATGTCATCCTACTGAACACAATAGTGTTAAAGCTCAATTTCATGTATTCTCATTTCCTGTATTTCTGTTTCAAAAATAAGGGCTGGAGAGATAACTCAGTGGCTAAGAGCTTGTACAGCTTTGGCAGAAGACCTGAATTCAATTGCCAGCACCCAGGTCAGGCAGCTCTCAACTGCCTGTGACTCCAGCTCCAAGGATACAATGGATCCTTCTTGCCTCTGCAGGTAACTCCATTCATATGCACATACTTCAAAACAGATACATCATGACTACACATAATTAAAAATAGAACAAATCTAAAATAAATAAAATAAACTTATACATTCTCATATAAAAGGAAATACTTAAGAATGTACAAATGGTCCATGTGGTGGCACACACCTTTAATCCCAGCACTTGGGAGGTAGAGGATCTCTGTGAGTTCCAGGCCAGCCTGGTTTACAGAGAAAGTTCAGGCCTGCCAGAGTTACACAGTGAGAACCTGTCTCAAAAAAAAGTATAAATGTGGCTTCTTTCCCGTTGATACAACTGATCAGAGAATAAATTACCATGAAGTAAACAAATTTAAGGGAGTTTCTTAAACATAAGAATGTTTCTAAACAATAAATTATATTCATAAACATTTAAAAATGTGAGCATGCATATTCAAATTTAAAGCATATACTAAAACATACACTTTTAGTACATCAAAGGCTAAAAAATAACCTAAGGAGCCTTACCAAATACCGAGATAACTATACTTCTCTAGAAGCCTGTAAGTTTTAAGGATGTATGTATAATATAAAGGCAGAATTTGCTCAATCATGGAAATTGTGAGAATTTCACTTATACAGCAACTTTGTGACTGGCAGAGAAAAATTTTCAGACTATCATGATACTTGTCATAAAGTTAAATTTTTGTGATCTTGGGAAAACTAACCTTTCTGGTATAATTTCCTTATATAATAAAAGTCAATTACAACATGACCATCATACAAATTTAAATTATTTAAGCAGCTTTTATTTGTACAATTTACCAAGTCACTGTGCAAATGACCATTTAAATAATGACCACTGTCCACCCAGTATCTTTCTCTACACTACCCTTGAGTACATAGAAGGAACAGCACCTTGCCCACATCTTCACTGGTCTTGTCCTAAAACCTAAGCTTCCTGTCACCTTCCTCACCTGTTCTACAACTCTGTTTTCACAAGCAGGAAGAGCTTAGGTAGAATTTCTGAGTAGAGAGAAAGGAGGAGATGAATCTAGGCGTAGGAGAGTCACAAGCTGCAGAGGAAGCAGGACATGCAGAAGTAGAGGTAAAAGCCACCTTGTGGCAGCAGGTAGATTGATAGAAATGGGTTAAGTTATAAGAAAAAGTTAGAAACAAGCCTAAGCTAAGGCCAAGCTTTCATAATTAATAAGTCTCATGTCATTTGTGAGCTGGTGGCCCAAAGAAAAAGCCATCTACACCTGATGCTGCTCCCTTTTGTGCCTGTGGTGTTGATGAGCCAGGATACAGCAGGGCAGGGAATGCTGAAGCGCTTCCATGTTGACTCTACCTCATTTATTCTCAGATCCGGTGTTTTCAAGAATCAAATTCCTAGGCTAACAGAATTTTTTCATTCACATTTGTTAAGGACCAGAGTCAGGCTAAGGACTGTAGTTGGGAAAAATCAAAGATCTGGTTCTCTACCTTCAAATGACTACTGCTCTTCTCCGACATTTAGACACTCAAGAAATAGCCAGTCACATTCATGGATTATGCTGAGTGCTAGAGACTTAGCAATCAATCAAGACCAGGAGTGAGCCTTATATTCTGCTAATTCTGTTGTTAAAATTGCGATGAGAGCTAATGATGAGAAGTTCAAGACACCATGACAGCCCTAGCAGATAATAACTGAGGAGCTGAAGAAAGCTTTCCTGAGAAGTAACAGCCTGTGTAAAGAGAAAGGAAAACCTATACAGAGATTGCAACAGGAAAAGACAGGAAAGCAAGAAGCATAATAAGGAGAGCAGTCCCAGCATCCAGCACTGGGAAGTGTGGAGAAACATGCAGAAAAAGAGAACTAAAAAAAGCGATCCGTTTGCTTGTAGCAAAGAGGTAGGTTTGCTTTGGCAATAAATAGGCAGCTCAATTAGGCAAAGCACCAGACCCTTTAAACATAAGAAGAAATACAGTGTAGTTCTAAATGCTTTAAAATGCCCTGCCTACTAAGAGTCGAAATAGAATTAGAAGTAGAGAAGCAGCACACCATGAGAGGGAAGCAAGGATAGGGAAACCCTGAAAAGCTACTGTGCTTACCAGAGCAAACCATCACAACTGCTGGCGCAGTGTGGCTGGGAAAAGTGGATACATTCAAGAAGTATTTATGGCATAGAATACACAAGACTACATAAGAGAATAAGTAGTATAAGAACCAAAGGTATCTGGATAATTCTTAAGCCAGGAAAACACTGAAACACCTTGGCAGAGAAGACAAATCTGTATGTTGGGAGAAATGTCATAAGCAGGCCAGCAAGATGGCTCTGGCTCCATTGGTAATGATCTGTGCTTGATTCCCCAAAACCCACACAGTAGGAGAGAGACAACTCTTGCCAAGTTTTGCGCGTGCACACACGCACGCACCCCCCACACACACACACACCAGAAAATGCGCGCAAACACGCATATAAAATAAATAAATGTAAAGCAACAAAAAGAAATTCTACAAGCTCAATTTTAGGTCTGCTGATTAAGACATAAATAGATACCACAAGAAGAACGCTACATATAGATCTCATACTCTTTAAGTATCCTAGTTATATTTTTATCAACTTGATACAAGCTAGAGCCATCTGGGAAAAAAAAACTTCAGTTAATAAAATACCTTTATCAAATTACCTACAGGCAAACTTGATGAATGGTGTGAGAAGACACAACATATAGGAAGTGGGGGGGGGCTCCTCTCAGCAGGTGGCCCTGCCTGGTTCAACAAAGCAGGCTGAGTGAGGAATGGAAAACAATCTAGTAAGCAGGGTTCTTTCATAGCTTCCACTTCAGTTTCCACCTCCAGAGTCCTGCCTAGGCTTCCCCCAGTGGACTGTAAGTCAAGAAATGTAAACCAAATAAACCCTTTCCTCCCCAGGCTGCTTATAGCCACAATGATAGAAAACCAAAGTAAGACAGTAAGTGAATTCATGTAGATGAATTTAAAGGCACAGATTTATGAGATTTCTCAAAGAGAAAATAGAGATGAAAGTGGGAAACTACAAAATATTTAACTGCAGGTTCCGGATTATTCCTAACATATCATTAGAATGCTCCAGGTTTCCCAGTTTTTATGAGCTGTCACCCATGCTGAGGTGGACCTTGGTGAGGCAGCTGTCTTTGAGTCACTTCTGCTCTTGTAAGTAACTCCTCACCCATACTCCTGTAAGTAATCCAAATAAAACTCACTGGTTTGTCAAGTTGGACTTTGATGGTATCCATACTTTGTTCTGTTATGGGCTTCCTATCTGTAGTGAGTACATATGTATTGGATCTCCCCAAAGACAGTTTTGTCATATAACAGAGGGAGAGGTTCCAGGAACAGGACCTACCCTTCAAGGACATGTACCCAGTGACTTGTTTCTTCCAAGCAGGCCCCACTTTCCAGTAACCCTATGATCATAGCCTAGGATCATTACCTATGATCATCAATGATTCAATCACCTCTCAACAGTGCCACCAGATGGGAACTAAGTCTTCGACCCAAGTACCCTTCAAGGTTATTTTATACCTGAATCATAATACATCCTATACCTGAAATGGGATTACAAGAGACTTTAGTACAATAGTTAAGTAGTTGGATAAAAGAAAAATATTCCCTTCTAAATGAAACTATGTTGTGGGGCTGAAACCATATCAACAAATAACTTGGCAAATATAAGATCAGGCACAAAGTCCACAATATCCAGGAAGGTGAGGATATTAGACAATACAAAAAAGAATCAGCAAAACAGCAAGAAATAGAAACACCCTAGGTAGGCCTGGTGGCACAGGCCTGTAATCCCAAATACTCCAGAGTCAGAGACAGGCAGATCTCTGTAATTCAAAACTAGCCTTTTCTAGAAAGAGTTCAGGACAGCCAGAGCTACATAGTGAAACCCTGTCTTAAAAACAAATACACTAAAAGGAGTGCCAGGTCCTGACGTTATCAAATACATTGCCTGGTTAAAGAAAACAAAAAATACAATTAAGAATTTCAACAGAAAATTCCAACATATTTAAATGGGTTGTGGAAGATTTACAAAAATTAAGTAGAATTTCCAGACCTGAAAAATATAGTTATCAAAATTAAAATTAGGTTAGACACAAACTATTGAACTAGACAATTGGTCAAGACTAAACACTCAACATAAATCACAAAGAAGAAAATGACAGAAAAAATAAAAGACAAAGGATACTAAGAAGAGGTCTAATTATATGAGAAATGGGAAACTTGGAAGGGATGAAATAGAAGCACATTTGATTTTTAAAAAAATTATAGTTCAGAATTTTCCAAAGCTAGCAACATAAAATAAACCATGAATTAGAGAAGCCATATGTGTGTCAAAAAAAGACAACAACAACAACAACAAACTGCCAGTAGGCACCTAAAATGAAATATGTTTAGAAATGAGCATGAAGAACAGGTATGGTCGTACACA